ATGACTCGCTTGGTCGGAGATACTGTCGGACCGGACTCCACAGCCTGCGCGTTCACAGCCTTCTGGGATGGATGGCGCCTTCCAACTGGCTTCTATCGGAACCACCCGTGAACCACACGCGGTCTTAGCTACGATAGTCTGTTCTGCTAAAATCGCCGACACTTTTCTGCTTGTAGGCATCCTTTTTCTGCTCAGCCAATGGGCGAAGCCCGGCTGCTGCCTTCACTCCACCACAGGCGATCCGGAAACTCTGACCTGCCGACGAATTTTCTCGACGAGATGATCTCCTTGTTCATCTCGCAGTCGTCGTTCGCATTCATTGCACGCAGTCCATATGCGCTGATAGGAATGTGTCCTCATCTCAAGTGCGGGCTACCGTTCTTGAATTGCATGCGAAATTGAGTCTACTTGTCATTGAGAGGGAAATGGTCGATCCTAAATGTGGTCGACCCATTGTTTGCTCAACTGCCTTCCCCTTGCGCCCCGGAAAAGGATTTTTGCTCGAGTGGATCCCCAATAGCTGACGACAAAAGATCTCGTCTCGGATGCGCTACTGACAGAAGCCCATCAGCTGTGAGCATGCCTCTCATTTTGTAGCGCACCGTCAACCCCCAGTTTTGCGTCCTGCTGGCGGGCCAAAAACAGATTCTGCCCTCCAGGATGATGACCGGTGCTGGCTGGGAGGGGGCCTCAGTTCTTGTTGCCTGTGTCGCCCCCCCCCTCCGCAGTCGAACAACTAGGACCTTGATATTTCAACTGTAGTGGATGGACAGTGCTTCTCTTGGTCGAATGACATCGCCACAACGGTCCCATCCCAAGGCTTAGACATTGCTCCCCTGGACTCTCAGCCTCCCTTTTGCTCCCGTAGCACACTGTTCCTGCCCCCTATATATGGTTTTCGGGCACGTATCCACTCTTGAGAACTGTCGGTTTACCCAGGCCCCCGTCCAATCCAAGAGCATTGGCGTTGCGTGGTTCCGTCGCTGGTCTCTGCCATAATCTCATTTCCCCTTCGCCCAAGAACTTCTGTTTTTATTTTTATCCTTCTTCTTTTGATTAAGCGTTTATTTCTGGTGTCCTACGGTCCCTGCCTGGACTGCCCCTCTGAGGTTCAATAAACTCCTTTAACCTTTGCTTGTTCAAAAGCAATTGTCCAGACATCCTCACAGGCTTCCCATCTTCCACTCGTGTCAAGATGGGTACGCCAGGACATAACTACGGGAGTCATTCTCCCCAAGAGAGTGAGAGCAGTTACTTCTCACATGCTTCTCCCACCCACAACGTGAGTGTTCTGTCATGGTCCACCGGCCATTGCGACCGTCCGCCGTGCCTAACCCCAGCAGCAACAACCGTACCACAGCGACGAGCACGAGGAACAGGAGCAGTCATTGCTGCAGCGCAACCCATCCAGCCACTATGGCGGTCCCTTCGAGGACCCCGCCATGTCCACCGACTCCCTCCGTCGGTACACGCTGCACGACCCCGGCGCGACGGTCTTCGCGACGCCCCCTTATCAAGAATCCGAGTCGAGTGACATCTACGATGCCCGATCGACCACCGAAAAACCCGCTTCCCAGGCCGGCAGTCGCGCGGGCGCCCTCCGCCGCTTCGGAACGAGAAAGATCAACCTGGTGCAGGGTTCCGTCCTGAGTGTCGACTACCCCGTCCCGAGTGCCATTCAAAACGCGATCCAGCCCCAATACCGTGAAGCGGAGGAGGCGTTTGCGGAGGAGTTCACACACATGCGCTGTAGGTGCTTTCCGACCACGAGGGGAGAAGGGAGGGGGAGCTGACCGAGATCACCTCTAGACACGGCGGCCACGTGTGATCCTGACGAGTTCACGTTGCGGAACGGTTACAACCTGCGGCCCGCGATCTACAACCGGCACACCGAACTGCTGATTGCCATCACATACTATAACGAAGACAAAGTCCTGACGGCGCGTACCCTGCACGGTGTCATGCAAAATATCCGCGATATCGTCAACCTGAAGAAGTCCGAGTTCTGGAACAAGGGTGGACCGGCGTGGCAGAAGATTGTGGTCTGTCTCGTTTTCGATGGTATCGATCCGTGCGACAAGAACACGCTGGATGTGTTGGCAACAATCGGTATTTATCAGGACGGAGTGATGAAGAAGGACGTCGACGGACGGGAGACCGTCGCACACGTGGTAAGTCAGGCGGATGGACCCGGCGATTGTCTCAGATCCGAGTGAACAAGGCAAGAAGTACTGACAATCCTCACTCACCCCTAACAGTTCGAATACACCACTCAATTGTCGGTCACCCCCACTCAACAATTGATCCGTCCCCAGGGCAATGAGTCGACCAATCTGCCCCCCGTGCAGATGATCTTTTGTTTGAAACAGAAGAACAGCAAGAAGATTAACTCTCACCGCTGGCTGTTCAATGCCTTCAGTCGAATTCTTAACCCCGAAGTTGTTATTTTGCTGGACGCTGGTACTAAGCCTGGCCCCAAGTCCCTGCTGTCGCTATGGGAGGCCTTTTACAACGATAAGACCCTCGGTGGTTCTTGTGGTGAGATCCATGCCATGTTGGGTCAGGGATGGCGCAAAGTCCTGAATCCTCTGGTTGCTGCTCAGAATTTTGAGTACAAGATCTCCAATATCTTGGACAAACCCCTCGAAAGTGCGTTCGGTTATGTCAGTGTCTTGCCCGGTGCCTTCTCTGCGTACCGCTACCGTGCAATTATGGGCCGACCGTTGGAGCAGTACTTCCACGGAGATCACACCTTGTCCAAACGCCTCGGTAAGAAGGGTATTGACGGCATGAACATCTTCAAGAAGAACATGTTCTTGGCTGAGGATCGTATTCTTTGCTTCGAACTCGTGGCCAAGGCTGGTTTCAAGTGGCATCTGAGTTACGTGAAGGCATCCAAGGGTGAGACGGACGTTCCGGAAGGCGCGGCGGAATTTATCAGTCAAAGAAGACGTTGGCTGAACGGTTCGTTCGCGGCTGGTCTGTATTCGCTCATGCACTTTGGTCGGATCTATCGCAGTGGTCACAGCATCGTCCGTCTCTTCTTCCTGCACCTTCAAATGATCTACAACGTCATTCAGCTCATCATGACTTGGTTCTCTCTCGGTATGCCCTGTTCAATAGCCGCGACTTGCATCTATTTGTTCACACTAACATTGTTCCACAGCTTCCTACTGGTTGACCAGCTCTGTCATTATGGACTTGGTGGGTACACCTAGCTCTCACAACGGCAACAAGGGATGGCCTTTTGGAGACGAAGCGTCGCCCATCGTCAACAACTTCATCAAATATGGTTACCTCTGGGTTCTCGCGCTGCAGTTCATTCTGGCTCTCGGCAATCGGCCGAAAGGGTGAGTGACTGTCCGGCTTCTTCAGCTTGAATACAATGCTCACATTTCGCCCAGAACTGTCGTCCCCTACACCCTCTCGTTCATGTACTTCTCGCTGGTCCAGATCTACGTCCTGATTTTGTCGTTCTACCTGGTTGTCAACGCGTTCAGCTCCGGATTGTTCAACCTCGACATCAACGAGAGTCTCACGGACTTCTTGAAGTCATTCTTTAGTTCGTCAGGTGGTGGTATCGTCTTGATTGCGCTCGTCTCGACCTACGGAATCTACATCATTGCCAGTGTCCTCTACATGGACCCCTGGCACATTCTGACCAGTTCTTGGGCCTACTTCATGGGCATGACCACTGGTATCAACATCCTGATGGTATACGCCTTCTGCAACTGGCACGACGTTTCCTGGGGTACCAAGGGATCCGATAAAGCGGAAGCTCTGCCGTCCGTGCAAACCAAGAAGGACGATGACGGCAAACAGAACTTCATTGAAGAAATCGACAAACCGCAAGCCGATATCGATAGCCAATTCGAATCGACGGTCAAGCGTGCGCTGGCCCCGTGGATCGAACCCGAGGAGGAAAGTGGCAAGAGTCTGGACGACGCCTACAAGAACTTCCGTACCATGCTGGTTTGCCTGTGGGTGTTCAGCAACCTGCTCGTGGCGCTGCTGATTACCAGCACTGGTGTGGACAAGATGTGTTTGACCGTAAGTTCCACTCGTGACTCTACTAGTGCTTGTCTGGTTGCTGACCTCAATTCTGTAACAGAACACCTCGACCACCCGCACCTCCTGGTACTTCGAAGTCATTCTCTGGATTACCGCGGGTCTCTCTTTGTTCCGTTTCCTCGGATCGCTCTACTTCCTCGGCCGCTCTGGTATCCTCTGCTGCGTGTCTCGTCGCTAAGTTACCTCCCGCGGGCCCTGAGGCAGTGCTTTCTGCCAGTGGTGTATCGGCACTGGTCTCAGTGTCGATGGGGACGAAGACGGCAGAATTGTATGTTCTGTTTGTGTCGTGTTTTCCAGCGCGTCACCCTTCCCTTGGGATGTATATCTTCTGGAATCTCTCCAAGTGTTGATCATTTTTTATTTCTGTTCGATTCTCATGCGATGACCATAATAGAGCGGTGTTTTTGTTCTCTTCAGAGTTCTTCTATTGAAGCGCGCAGAGGTGGCTTTGGATTGTATCTATTTAGAAAGTTGAACTTAGAGCTTATGACTGATATCGTTGTCTCATTATTTCCGATGCCCGAGTGATCTAAGGTCCTACAACATGACGGGCGCAGATGGCGTTGTAGTAGAATATCATCGGCTAGGCTTCAGGTAGTAAGAATTAAAGTCCTCATTCAGCCCCGCAGGCTTCAAGTTCCAATTCTGTTCTAGCTACATATTCCAACTTAATCCACCACAACCCGCGTGGATCTGAAGGGGAGGGAGAGAGGGACTGTGAGTCGCTTCCAGCAGTCTAAAACAGTCATTGCTGTGTCCGCATCTGACAGATGCTCAAGACTACCTCATTCTGCACAGCATACAGTGGAGTCTCGAGAATAGCAAGGTGGGGACAGCAACGCTTGAAACATGATGCTCCCCTCACTCGACATTCTTCCAGCGCCATACATCATCCTCTTTCAACTAACAAGACCTACAAAACCGCCATATCACTCGACATCCGAAGCAGCCTTAAGATCATGCACGTCGTCCAGCCCCTCCAACTCCTTCCTGACCCCCGCACACCCCTCGTTATCTCCCTGGTGCGCCTCGATCAACACATCCACCGCCATCCGCGTCGCCCGCCACACCGCACCATTTGCACCCCTCGCAGCCCCCAAGTGCGCCTCATCCAGCTCCGCCCTCAACTGCTCCAGCCTAGCCATCAGCCCCATCATCTCCAGCGTGACGCCCTTGAGCTGGACATGCAGGTTCTGGAGCTTGGCCTGGTGGGCGAACTGCCGGCGGTCGAATTCGTTCTGGGCCGCGTCGCCGGCGGCGATGATCCGGTGGGCGGTCGTCACCCAGCCCGGAGCGGTGGGTGGGCTGGACTGGTGTTGCGCTTCGATCTGTGTGAGGAGGCCCTTGATGTCGGAGATGAGGCCGGGGGTGGTATCGATTGTGTTCGATGGCTGGGATGGCTGAGATGGCGGGGGGGGGGGGGGGGGGGTGTTAGGGGCGGTCGTCGGTGGGAGGTTGTAGAGTTCGGCTCGGTGCCCGCCGGCAGATGCGCGGCGGCCTCCCTGCCTTGTGTTCCCGGTTCGGTTCATTGTGTTTCGGGTTGAGTTGAGTGCGGAGGTTTCGTTGATGAGAGGTCTGGGAGTAACTGATGGTGAAGCCGGTTGAATCGGTGGATGGATGGATGGATGGATAGCAAAGGGTATGGTGATGGCTTGAGCTCGGGCTGTGTGTCAACTCTGAGGGATGGATGGGAGGGAGAAGTGGAAGGTGTCAAATATCAGAGATGGCATCCTGGAACTGGCAGTCGAAGAGAGAACAAAGATGAGCAGCCGGGACAGGCAGTAGTGAGTGAATGCTAGAGGTGCCATGGTCGGGCTGAGAAGTATTTCCGAGCCATAATGGGAAACATCTACCAGACGTAGGAAACACAGGAGCTGAAATATATTAGGTGGTCAGTTGCTCCTGTGTCATTCTCAATCTCAACAACCGAAAACGAAAGCAGTCGGCACTATCTCATCAGGGATCAACGCCCATTCCGGCATGGGTATACCAAAGAATTCAAACTGCTTGTAGTATAGAATCCTAGGAGGGGATATGTTTTGATTGCAGGGAATCGATCATTGCACAAGAAAATTTTCACACGTCAACTATCGTGCTCAACCCCATCCTGCATCTGATCCTCTCTCTGCCCAAGACTGCCAAGCTCGTATATATGACCCTGAATCCATCTCTATCGGGCGGCATTAACCCGATACCCCGCGATTCCCCACAAAATCGTCCCCGGCCTCGGTCCAGGTAGGTTGGAGGTCCACCACAGCTCCCGAGAGGAGCTTCATATAACCCCAGTCAGAAAGCTCTCTTTTGTTCATTAGACCTCACTTACGAACAAGGTTCAGTGGCGGAAGGGATATCATGCCATCGGCTTTTGCGTTAATTGCACCAATTGCACCCGTCCTCTGGGGCTGTCTGGCGCTGACTCCCCTGGTCCATGCGCACAGGTATTCCTCCCTGGCGCAGCTTGCAGCACCAAATCTGCGACTAACTCTACAGTTTAGTGAGACGCTTGTACGTCCTACACGCTATCGGACCAATGCCGGTTTCCGGAATTATACAAGTGACACGCAGTCTCCCTGCTTTACCCTCGACCCGCAAGCCCCCTTGGTTACCTTAGATTACGGCACTGAGGCTGCAGGCTTTCCCTACTTTGAGGTTGAATCGCTTTCAACCCCTGTCCAGGTCGAAGCAAAGTATAGCGAGCCTTATACCGGGCTAGATGAGCCATTTGCAGACGGCCCCTTTGACTTTGCCAATGGTCTGTCCAACACCTTCCGCGTCGAGACCTTCAACGTCACTTCCACCGGGCGCGTCGAGTCGTTCTTCATCCAGGGGGGTCAGCGTTGGCACACCCTGAAACTGCTGACCGACGGCAGCATTCGCCTCTGCGATGTTGGATTAAGGTCTGAAAATGATCGGACGCCCGTCGACCGCCTGCCAGGCTTCTTCGAATCGTCGAACAGTCTATACAACGAGATCTGGGCCCTGGGGGCGCGGACGGTGCAGCAAGCATGCATCGCAGCGGGCGCAGCACCTTCGACATGGGAAGTCACCGAAGACGGGGTGTATCTGCGAGGCCAGCAGCCTGCCCAGTCGGTCAAGGGGGCATCGTTCGACAACTACACCCTGACATTCGATACGAAGATCGTGCGCGGCGGGAGTGGGTGGAAAGTGGCCGCCGGGGTGGGGGGGTACGGCGCCTACTTCGTCCTCACCAGCGAATATCCTTCGGACTCAACCTTCGTCAACGTCAACCGAACGGTCGTGCCGCCCAACACTCTGGCGGTGGGTTATGGATGGAACCTGGTCAATCAGACCTCCCTCACTTCAGGAAAGGTCAACCACTACCCGCTGCCATTTGACGTCAAAGAAGACCAATGGTACCACATCGCAACCCGTATTAATGCCACAGGATACGGGGTGACGGTCAACGAGACTGAAGTATTTGTGACCTTGACCGATCTCCAGACTCCGGCTGGCACAATCGGAGGGTCAGGCAGTCTGACGGGTGGCACTTGGGGATTCGGCCCATACCAGGACCAGGTGGCACTGGTCAAGGAGGTGGAAGTGCACGCTCAGAACGGAACCGTGCTCTACCAGAATCCGATGACCTCGGATGCAGTTCTGGAAGAATATGGCGTTCTGCCGAACACCCACTCGGTCTGCCTGGATGGTGCGAAACGCGACCGACTCGTGTGGTCGGGCGACTTCTTCCACACCTACCGCATCGTCCAAGCCAGCACCTATCGCAGTGACTTCATCTCGGGGACTTTGGAGTACCTCATGGACCGTCAGGCAGACAACTCGTCGGTGTACGAGGGGCTCTTCAGCATGTCGCCGCAGATGGGTCAGTCCGCCAAGTACACTGACATTTACAGCTCCTTTGGTCTGCTCGACTACCAGTTTTTCACATTAGAGGCCGTGGCTGGGTACTACAAGAATTCCGGCGACCGTGCTTTTCTCCAGAAGTATTGGTCGAAGATTGAGACAGGAGTCGAGGCGGTTTTGCGGCTCATCGACGAGCAGACTGGCCTGGCGGTCACTGACAACATTGGGGCGTTCTTCCTGGGGTCGAGCAATGCTACTGCGGCATCGGCCCTGCTCGCGCACACTCTGAGCGAAATGGCCGACCTCGCGACTGCTGTGAATGCAACCGAGTCGGCTAGCTCGTGGAGCCAGTCTGCTCAAACCATCAAACAAGCTGTCAATCAGCATCTCTGGAACCCAGCACTGGGAACCTACGGCGTAGACATCAGCACTCTGGACGAACAGGCCATTGCAGGCAGCGCATGGGCGATTCTGTCCGGCATCGCCAACGCGACCCAAACCCAGTCTACGATTGCGGCGCTTTCATCGCTGCGCCTAGGGATCGGGTACAAGAGTTCGACCTCGGTCGCAAACTCCTCGAGCACCAACCTTGCACCGTTCCTGTCGGGCTTCCTGCTCGAGGCGCTGTTCCAAGCAAGTCGCGACAGCGCCAATGCATCGACGGAGCGAAGGACTGCTATCAGTGTGCTGCTGGACCAACTGTGGGCCGCCATGGTCACCCAGGATGAGTACTACACAGGAACCTCGTGGGAATATCTGTACCCTGATGGTCGGCCCGGTCTGGACTTGTATACCTCCCATGCGCATCCCTGGGGCGGCGCTCCGACGTATGTCCTGTCGGAGTATGTTCTGGGTGTTCAGTCCACATCCCCTGGGTTCGGCACGTGGGTGTTCCAGCCTGCGATTTTGGATGTGAATGTCTCGTGGACCAGAGGTCGCGTACCCACCCCTCGAGGAACGATCCAGGCTAGCTGGCGCCTGAGTGGTACCGATAAAAAGAGCCTGCAGCTGGAGGTTTGTGGGCCGAAGAAGACGAGGGGCGTCGTTAGCTTGCCCTTTGCTGTTGACTCGTACACCGTTGATGGGAAGACGAAGAGCAACGGCAAAGAGAGACTGGAAGTCGCGGTCGCTGGTGGATCGTGTGCTGATATTCGCGCATCACTCCCATAGACTTGGAATTCTTCTTGCATGTACATACCATAGAGTCAGAGCGGCGTCACCATGCTCATTCTAGTCCTGTGTTTTGACAGAGTACTTTTTCTCCACACCTGTTGTACCCACTTTCCCACTGACAAAGATGGGGTTGATGAGGCCTCCTTTGCAACTTGCCTTCTGCGGTCGACGTTGGAGATGAAGGGGGTAGGGGACAAAGTGGATAGGAATGTAAAGGCTCCGGCGGAGGTTTTGTGACGAAGAGTAGTTGGTCGAAAGACATGTTATGATGACGTCTTCTTGGAAGTAGCATCTTCGATAAAGAAACAAAACACGGATCATGCTGGTCATGTGTTACCCAAGCGACAATTCTCCATTCACTGCACTCCTCTTTCCCAACTTGGAATTCCACCAGATCCAGCTCCAGACTTTTCTTCCTGGCTTGGCTGACTTCTTCATCTTCATCTCACCACCTCATCTTCCTCTATCCATCTCGATTCAACTTCATCCAGGTTCAACAATCTCCATCTATTCTGTCATCTGTCATCTGTCATCTGTCATCCGTCATCCGTCATCCTTACGCAGTCAAGATCCTTCTCCTCAGCTGTCACACTGCCATCTCCGTCATCTTACCAAAAACCATGACACCCTCAACACCGAATCCTCCTCTCTCGCGCCTCCCTCCCGAGCTCCGCCTCATGGTCTGGGAGGCCGCACTGCCCGATCCGGTCGTCGACCCGCTGTACATCTGGCGATACGACTGCTGGACAGCCCGACTGGACGAGACCAAGAACGCACAGGACGAGGAAAAGAAAGAGCTTCACATCGAGTTCGACCCGCGCCCGTTAGACTGCTATGAAGTCCACCTGCCACACTTTTCGCTAAACCACGAGGCCCGATGGGTCGCCCTGCGCTGGCTGGAGAAGCAACAGCCCCGCCTACAGATCCGCTACCACAAGAAGACGCGGCGCTTCTCCATCGTGCGGCCGTTCGATCCTACCCGGGACACGGTCTATGTCCCGTACCGTCAATGGTTCAACTTCTTCCCCAACGCCCATCGGATCCGCAACCTGATGTTGAAGGCCGGGGTGGACCAGCAGCTGGCGCACATGTGGCCCTGGAATCCCCGTCCCGGCCACCCCACGATCGTGAAGCATCCGACCCCGCTCACCCGCTTGGCGTTCCCCAGCGGCCTCCTCCACAAAAAGGGCGCGGAGTATGTGTGCCCGAGTTCGAAATGGTCCAGTCCCCATCCCGAGTGTCGACAGGTCTCCATTGTGAGCAACGCCATGGGTGACCCCCCGGCGAGATTCGCCGACATCGACGTCGTGCATCGAACGTGGGAGGTGGTGGAGTGCCCGAAGGAGATGAAAGTCATCGTTTGGGTCCCCGTCCACGACAAGCGCAGAAGGTGGCACACCGGGTACAGGGAGTGGGATGAATCGTTCGTCGAGCAGCGGCGTGCTAAGGGTGATCGCTTCAATGCGGACCTAGATCGGATCTGGTCGTGTCGGAACAGTATCCTCAACGAGGATACCGGAGGGGGGGAATACCACCGGACAGTGACGGAGAGGATTGAAAGGGGCCAGCCACTTATGATCAGATCTGTTGTTGCTGTTGGGAGGTAGGAGGATGGCTGCCTGGTGGCAGGATAGTATGGTCGCTGGATCCAGTGTCCCTTAGCCTCTAGCTTTAAGCTCTCACCAGAGCCTCTTCTCTCTGTCGGGCTTATCATGTGGTCGTCTCTAATATAATGATGAAATTCTGATCTAGTTGTCATGATCTTCTAAGAAGTACACGGGGGAGCGCGAGTGTATGTAAACCCAACACAAGGACTGACTACCACAGATTCTACCGGATACATTAGTCTAAGAAACCCGTGATAAAGTGCAGCAAGACTCATGACATACATAATAAGGGGTATATAGCCTTCCCACCCAGCCAAGCAAACACCAGATGCAGAACCCAGAAACCCAGCCCCATCCCATCAACTCCACCCAACAATACCACTATCCCCACCCACCCAGTATCACACCTCACACCTCTCCTCCCCCTCTCCCTCCCCCAAAACCTCCAACAACTGCCCCGCCGTCAAATGATCGCCCACACTCTCCATCCGATGAACATACACGCACCGCCCCCCTTTGAACACCCACTCCCCGCCATTCAAATTCCAGGGCCCTCCGCGAAACGCACGCCGCCAGCCGCCCGCCGAAAACATCTGGCGCAGGGTGCGGCCCAGGGCGCGCACGAACGAGACCTCGGTGTAGGCGGGCGGGCGCGTGATGCCGCGGACGGAGCGGTTCATGCGCAGCTCCGAGTAGATGCGGCCGGTGGGGTCGGTGTATACGGGGAAGCGGGCGGCGGTCTCGGCGACGTAGGGCACGATGCGGGCGGGGTCGCCGCAGCCGATGATGATGACCTGGCAGGGGCCGCCGCCGCCTGGGTCGGGGAGGGAGGCGAGTAGGCTGTCGCTCAGGTGGTGCGAGAGCGTGCGCACGTAGGATTGGTCGTAGATGCAGAAGAAGTGGCGTACTTTTTATCCTCCCGGGGGGAGTGGATGTTAGTTGAGTTGATTGAGGGGGAGCGTGGGGTGAGATGGCGGGGAGGATTGAGGTTGCTGAGCAGAGCAGAGCAGGGTTGAGGTCGCCAACAGGGGGGTGGGTGTATGCTAAACCCAGGGGGGGGGAATGGCTAGGCCAACGCACTGAAAATCACCAGGGTCGTAATATTCGACCCCTTGCCGGCGATCAAGTCCCCGAAGCGGATGCTGCCGCCCGCCGAGCTCTGGAGCTCGATCTCGTACGCCTCGTACAGGCTGTCTGGCTTGGGGTCGTCGGCGGCTTTTTCGTGGTCATTGGGTCGTCCCGGGATGATGTGTTCGTTCGACATCTTCGCATGCTGTAGCCGGCATGTGTCTCTGCAGGGGTTAAGGGGAGAAACAGGAAGGGGGGTCAACAAGCAGGGATGCTGGGGTGTGGCAGATGCTTGGTTTTGTTGTCGGTAGCTCCATACCTCCGGGGTGATACTTCCGCCTGGCACAAAACGTGGGACAATAGGGTGATTGAGCTTGGCGGGCAGTCGTGATGTCATGACCGTTGCTGTCCAAAGCCATCCGTGGGTACAGGTAACGCCCCCTTCTTTTTCATCCTGCGGAAAACCCGGGGCTGTGGTCCAGGCCTTTGTTCGTCCTCAGGCACTGGCGTTCAATCAGCGATTTGGAATGCTTACAAAGGGGGTCGTGGGCAGGTGTCCGCATTGGGACGTTGAGACGACAGCATTCGAGCTTTTCTCGGCTGGGGATTGATCATCCAGCGGGCAAGGTTCTGCTCTGATCGTTGAGATCGGAATCGACAGACCGAACGTCGCTTCGCGATTTGTCATGGTCTCTTCGCCTGTATACTGTACTGTACAGTATATCCAATTTGACAATGCTTAGCTTGGCTGATCGGCAGCGCCAACGGAACGTGTGCCGAGCCCTAATCCGCCTCCCCCGTGGGGCAGGTCAATTTGGCCTCGATCGGGTTTTCCGGCCTGCTACTGACTACTACGAGTATGAGGCAGTCTGCAAGGGTCCTTTCCCCCGTGTTATATTTTGTTACTGGAGCTGACACACCGTATGGCATATTGAATAAGAGTCGCAGACTCTAGAAGAGATTGATATCTCCGCATCGTGAACGAATTCTCAGCAGACAACTTGTGGACTGCACCGGTGGAAGGAATTACCCAATATGGAAGGTTCTCCACCGGAAGACGCTCAGACCTTATATACTTGCAGCCTGGATATAAAACACTCCAACTCTCCACGACACCCCAAGCAATCTCCAATACAACTTCATCAGCTCAGTCTACCAGCCTATCCAAGCAAGACCTCACAGCCATGTCCAACAAAATCACCGTGACCCTGCCCCAGCTGGCCAAAATGATCGACCACTCCCTCCTGCACCCGACCATGACTGACGCCGACATCCGCGCCGGCCTGCAGATCGCCCGCGCCCACCACGTCGCCACCGCCTGCGTGAAGCCCTACGCCATCCCGCTCGCCACGCAAGAACTCGCCGGCTCGGACGTCCTCATCTGCCCGGTCATTGGGTTCCCGCACGGCAACAGCACGACTGAGATCAAAGTCCTCGAGGCCACCGCCGCGGCCCAGGCGGGCGGCGCCGAGATCGACATGGTCGTCAACGTCGGCAAGGTCCTCGGCGGCGACTGGGCGTACGTCACGGAGGAGATCCGCCGGATCAACGCAGCTGTCGTCGCCCACGGGGCCGCCCTCAAGGTCATCTTCGAGAATGATTACCTCCAGCCCGAGCAGATTGCCCGGCTGTGTGAGATCTGCTCGCAGTTAGAAGTGGCGTTTGTCAAGACTTCGACCGGGTATGGGTTCGTCAAGCAGGGGGATGGGTCGTATAATTACAAGGGTGCGACCGTCGCGCATTTGAAGTTGATGCGGGAGAAGTCCGCGGAGAAGGTGCAGATTAAGGCTGCCGGCGGCGTGAGGACGTTGGATGACCTGCTGCATGTGATGAGCTTGGGTGTGACGCGGATCGGGGCCACGGCCACGGTCGCCATTCTGGAGGAGGCCAGGAAGCGGGGGATCGGGAATGAGCCTGTGGAGGTGGGGTTTAAGCCGATGGCGGAGGAGGGTACCACAGGCGGCTATTAGGTTCGGTGATTCTGCTTCGAAATTTGAGCACTCATGGGTTTCTAGTTCCACAGAATTGACTCTGCAATTCGCGGTCAAGGCCCGATGTCAGCGTGAAAGAAGGGATCATTGTCGAGATCCCATAACCACGTCTGTTCCAGGATTGGAAAGCCGTCCGCGGTTGGCGGCCACAGAATCGGATTCTCTGCCGTCTGTTCCTGTTCTCTGCAAGGTTGAGGGGCATAGGATAGCAATGCTAGACCATGTATTAGCTCGGGAAATGAGTTAGGAATGAGGGATGCAACCTTGGTCAAAATCGTGCAGGGCGTCCGTCATTGCAGCGTCATTGGTGTACAGAATGTCATCTCGACTCGGCAGAGCGCTGGGGACGCCACGGTCAAGGTTCGCTACGCCCTCCGAAGTAGAGACATCGGATGTGACGTCCCCAGTGAGAACTTGTAGCTCGTCAGGCAAACCTTGACTGGATGGTCTACTAGGACTGCTGGATTGCGTGGTCGTGCGTTTACTCCTACCCAGCAGCATGTCCAGCTCCTTCTGCATTATAAGCCTGGTCAGTCGCTGGAGGATGTCTAGTCCTTGCTCCGCCACCACCGAGCGCAATTTCAGCGTCTCCTGTATCTTCATCACATTCTGAAGGGCGAGCTTGGAAGCACTGGACTGCTGGCTCAAGGGGTCCGTGCTGCACAGAATACCCAGAGTGACTCCCGCGGTAAAGGTATGTATGCTGACGAAGGTCACAGCGTAGGTCTCAGCGACAAGCTTCAGAACTGGACTTGACTGGATAGAGGACATTCTCAGCGCTGCAGTGCGGCAGGCCTCCAGTGATGAAACGAATGGGGTAGGCTTTGGCTGATCAGCCTGGTCCGAGCCCGCCCGGGGAGCCTCAGAGTCCGTGCTGCTGTGCAGTTTGTAAGACAGAAGAGGCCTGTGCGTAAGAATCATGGCATTCTCGTACGCCAGCATCAAAGCCATAGCCTGTAGCTGATAGATGTGGCTCTCGAAGCGCGGGCCCGTCGCTCCGATATCGCGATCTATCTCCTCTGGGGTCGAGTAGTTCGCGTGGTCGGAGATTCGGTCCCATTGAAGTTCGAGGGGAAGCCTAGCTTGCCACTGCTGTAAGCGAGTGTCGTATTTAGCCACTGCTCGGAGGGTGTCCTGTAAGTCCTGTCGCGACCTGAGCGGTTTTCCATCTTCCACCGGAGAAGTCTTGGTGCGATACAACTCGCCCAGTGCTGCTTTTGTTACCACTGATAGCTCAGACATGAGGCGTTTGTATGACAGCAATGTTGTTTTGGGCGCCTGAAGTTCGTCGGATATTCTCGGACTTTGCACCGCCTGCAGCTTGGCTGATGGATCCAAGGGCTCCACGTCGCAATCAGCATCCCATATACTGTGCGGATAGCCGTATACCACGGCAGAAAAAGTCTCGATCTCATATATAGCCCACCAACACCGCTTCCGCGTTTCATACTGCTGGCAAAAATCGGGGGACCCCGAAGGCCGTAACCGGCGGTGCAGATGCAAGGCCTGTGCAATGCGGAGTCCGCAACCGCACACAGGCCATGCCAGACGAGGGGAACCATGGTACAAGTAGTAGGTTCCTAGCAGTACGCAGGTCTGCGCTGCTTCCAGCGAGCCGAGTGACATGACGTCCAAAAGTTTGGCTCTTACACAAGACAGGATACGGTCTTTCAGACTTGAATCGACGCCGTGTCTGGTTAGTAGTGATTGCCGATATGGGCCCACGTAGCGAATTCCGATGGCGATCACCACGAGAAAGGTGGACAGAAACGCGGCGTTGGAATATTCTGCTGATCGGCCCGAGTGGCGCTGATAGAGCTTGGGCCATCGCTGCCGGAAGTCATCTTGCTGGAAGACCAACATGAACCAGTGGGCGCGGTCAAAGTACGTGTCCACGAGCAAGCTCGCAGCTTCATATGGGGGCATCAATGATAGAAGCTCGGTGGCAGGCAAGGACAAACCGTTGTGGACATATTGTCGCGTGAACAGAGAGGGTTCCTTGCTCGACGAAGGTGCTGCATCAACTCCAGTGTTTGGGACCACCGGGCTATCATGTCGTACATCACCTCCTGGGATAGCTGTTGTGCGATCTGGTGGCGCGGGGGTGTTGTGCAATCGGAATGCCTAGCTAGACATTTGAGCCTTTGCTCCCGTTTCCATATCATAGAGGAACTTACCCCATCAACTAGAGAGAGCATCGAGCTTGATTGCCAGCAATCATCAGTTGCTGTTGCGCTTCTAGCCTCCGAGGTGTCATTTGTCTGTTGAGCAGTAACTGGGCTGGCTTCCTGGCAAGAATGCTGCTGCACGGGGAGGCGGTCGGGGGCTGGATGGGCAGCTACAGGATTATATGGCCTCCAGCGACTAGTCGAACCTGGTGCACAATGCGCCCCTGCCCTGAGGCAAAGAGTGCATGGTCGCTGAACATCACACTTCGAAGTCCATCAACACAGGGGACAGGAGACGAGGTTTTCCGATCGGGTGCGTACCTTGAGCTTCTGGCGTCGACAACGCTGGCACGCGCTCAGAACCTTGCTGTTGGAGCCCTGCATCCAGTGGGGCACAACTATTGACTACTAATGATACCATATGTGCAGCTTTCCTAGCTTCCAATTGAGAGTAACTACTGTAGTTGAGGTGGGTGGTGTGTATAATGGAGGCGAAGTGGCAGCGTCGAGAATTCACTTTCGGCAAGTCTGCCACCGGAGTGTCTTTCTGCTTTCGGTAAGGTGTCAGTCAGTCCTAAAATGCCTATGACGTCAGTTTGTGTAGCTGACTCATCAAGACAGACGCATAAATTTAAATAGTGAATACTCACCTAGTCAAGAATCTTGACTGCCTCCAATGAATACTCTACTTTGGTCTTGCTTGTGGGACTGAGCGAGCAAAGCTAGTGTAAGCAGAGTACATGTCTGAGCCTTTATCACAATCGTTTCTTAGACTTCCCTGCTTCTCTCTCCGTCTTCTCCATGATCCATCATTATTAACATATGTTCCCTGGGACTCCGATGCAGCCAAGGTAAAAAGCCCCAGTCTCGGTTAACTATTGCTTTTTACTAACTTGAATGACATTTTACCCGAAAGCAAATGTTAAATTAAGACTTCAACTAGAAAAGAATGCTGGTAAAAACATGCCCGAACAGGCCGCAACCAATCTATCGACGCTGCTCCTGAACCCACTGTGAAGCCGCCTCTTCCCACCGCAACACACGAGCCCCACGAGTCGACAGACGCCGCTCAACCTCGCGCTCGAGCTCTGTTGCCGTCTTTCCCTCCGAGTCGTACGTTGAGTGCGCGCCAGCAAGGAGAGTCACGCGGAACCCCGCCGCCAACGCACCCTTGCAGGTCGCTTCGACACACTTCTCGCTTTGCAGACCCAGAGCCACTATTTCGTTGATATCGGCATTGCGGAGGCGCGTCGAGAGGGTAGGATTCGACTCGAACGTGTTGCCTGGAAATTCCAACCTATTGTCAATCTACTGCCATGCGCAGAGTCCGGTAAGCAGATACTAACCAGTCTTCTTCGCGACCACGAGTTCCTCCTCGACATCCACCCGCGGGGTGAACACCAGTTCCCACGGCTCGCTGCCCCGCAGCAGCGTCCCACTCGCAGAGCTTTCTTCGTGCTGAATGAAATAGATAGCCCACGGAGATGGTTGGTTCTTCTCGCGGCAGGAATCGATGACCGACCGGATGGCGTTGAGGGTTCCCTCGGCGGACGCGATGACTCGATCCGCATGGGGGACTCTGGTTGTGGGATCGACGGCAAGCTCTTTCTGGATATCAATGACGAAGAGAGCCTTTCGAGGCGCCATGGCTTCTGCGTAGCAGTTGTTTGATGTGTTGTTGCGGTGGTGGTGGTGGGATGTTTGTTGATGGAGGCGGGAAGTTGCGGGGCAGGAGTAGCATGCTTGCGCTCACCGGTATTAGTATTACCGGCGATGATCTGCACTAAAGTAATGCATGGAGGGGTCATCGGAGATGGTATGACACCCTGCATCGTCTCCGATCATGCGTTTCTGCCCCTACAGGGAATCACCATTTCCAATCCCCTTTTTGGGTGTAATAGTCATTGAGGCTCTCCTTACAAATGACAAACCGGGCACGGCTGCCTCAGCCAAGCCAAGGAGGAGATTACGGTCTTTTTCGGGCATCAGGTGGCTTCTCATTATTTCGGACATAGTCGAGATGCGCCGTATATCTGAAAGAGATTTGTTACGAGAAAGGGGCTAATCAAGACGTGGAAAGTGTGCCATGTCCATGCTGGCCTTGGTATTCCTTCTTTCCCTGGCAGTCCGCCCGGGCGCAAGGCTTGTCTCTGGCATATCACCCGTGCCCTAACGCTGGAATACTATTTGTTCCCTGGGTGAGGAAGTGCATGCGCATGACGGCTTGCGCAACAAGCAATCCTCAGCGTCGTCATAGAATAAACCGCATGATCCGTATGAGAGGGTGAAGGAGAGAGGGACTTGCTGGAGGCGATTGATTGATGGCGGGGAGAGTGATGAGGCTCCTTTCTCATCGACGCTCAGTTCGGAGTAAAGAGGCGCCTGCATCTTATAGAGAGTGAACATACGTCACCAGAGGAGCACTAGCGAAAACACGTACAAGTAGGATTGTCAGGATGGCCGCAAGCTGGTCAAAGACTCGGAGTTGTGTTGTTTGGGCTGTCAGGGACCATTACCCCGCACTGCCGAAAGTGGTTTAGTGGGCCCAGTGCTGTTTCGACAATACAGAACATGACAATAGCATGAACAACTGAACGATTGAGTCGTTCAGAGCCACAGGACTTGATATAGAAGACAAATCCTCATGACAGCTCTTATTACTCAACACAGTGTTACAAGGATTCTCATGCGCAATTGGGCCAAAGGTGGATGATAACGATTTGTGTAGATGCATGCAGCGACGCATTCGTCTTGCCTGGCAAAGCCCCTAGCCACATCATCCATTCTCCACGCCGTTTGACAGCAAATGACGGAGTCAGTGGGGTAAAATCCCTAGTTTGACTATAATAAAGTTCGATAAGTAAGGCTCTTTTGCTTTACACAGCAATATCTGGACAAGCATCAACATGCTTAACTCGGCACGAGGACCGGGGACCCCTCAACTCCACAGTCAAGTCGCAAGGTACAAGAACCGGATAGCGGAATGAACAAGATAGCACAGAGCATCATCTTGATAACCCATCATTGGCTCCAATAACAATATTGTGGTTCAACAAACCTGTCGTTGAGATACCATCATGCACGTCATAATGACTCCGGGACCTCCCGCCCACCGAAACAGCTCAGAGCGAAATCGCTCCATGTAAACACACACTGCCCATTCTATCAATGGGAAGAAAACTTCACATCTTCTCAATCGTCTCTACAAAACCTCGCAGCAACTGAAGTACGTACGTTCAAGACAGCCACCATGTCTCCAAGCGCTCAAGCACCGCCAACCATAATCTCCGCCTCACAAACCCCCGAAGAAGAGGTATAGTCCCGCCCATTCACCCCCGATCCTCCCAAGCAACACAAGCCACACCATAAAAGACCCTAAACTAACCATACTCACCCACCACCCTCACTCTAGCGCAACATCACCACCGCAAAGCAATACATGGCCATCGCCTACTCCCCGACCGAGAACCAGGGCGCCGAGTCCGTCCGCCACCTCTGCCACCCAGACAGCTGGTTCTGGAGCCCGTCCACCTTCCCGGGCTGCTCCACCCCGATGGACTACGCCGACTCGCACGCCACCGTCATGCAGTCGGTCAACGACCTGCACATCGTGCGCTACGATCAAGCCTGGGCCAAGGACGGCCACGTCCTGCTGCGGTACACCGCCGAGGGGTCGCATGCGGGGAAGCCGTACAAGGGGATCGAGAGGTCCGACCCCCCCAAGCGGGCGCAGTGGAGCGCGGCGGCCATCTTTGAGATCAGCGATGGAAAAGTCAGAAGCTTCACCAAGGACTGGGATCAGAAGGTGATGCAGGTGCGTTTTTGTACTTCCGTCCCGAGGGGACTGATGGGTGGAAGTGTGCTGACTGTGGGGTTTTTAGATTCAACTCGGTTGGGCGCCTGTGAAGGAGTCTGAAGATCCGCGGTGGAATGCGGAGATTTTGGCCAATCCGGAAAAAGGGCGGCAGGCGAAGTAGAGACGGAGGGTCTGGGAGCAAGATAAATCACGAAGTTGGAGGTCGTTGAGGGTCGATGTTCATGTTGGTAGAGTAGAATGGTATAATAATTCCGCGGATTTCCTAGATCGTTCTAAATGCAGACTTCACTGGAGTCATCCCATTCAGATCAGTTATGGAACTTGAGGAGGTTGAAATCGAAGGGACGTTGCACCTTACACGGCTGTTAATGACCCAGGGTGCATCTCCGGGCACGAGTATGTTGCATCTGGTGTCACGGTCGTCAGATCTGTAGCCAAATGCGCAACTAAATAGCAGGCATCAGGGTTTTGGGGTTGCAGTAGCACACAGTTCGGGGCGCGACTGGCTAGGGCATTTTGCCTTAATCATGCAGGAGTCGCAAGATGGGTTCAGATAAAAGATTACTGCAAACCAGCTTGCTGGCAGATAATTCTCTAAATCTGCGAGCTCAGACCATGCTCAAGAGACACACAACAACAGAATTCCATGGAAATCTCTCGAGGGCTACAGAAAAGGAAGCGCGCAGTTGGCTTCCACGGCTTGCTAACTCGCATGTCCATGGCCTATATAGATGCATTCGAATTCAAATCCTTGAGCCTTTTCATGTCTGATTCAAATTATAAGCGATTACTTACAGCACCACCTCCGACTTCGACAATTTGAACTACTATTCTAGCTGATGCTTTCCTAACTCCCCTGATTATTACGAGAAGACACCGAATGAGTCTGCTGTAAAGGTGAAAACGGGTTGTGGAGTTGTGAGCGATGCTCAAGGAATCAGACGGTGACAGGTATTCAATGGCCTTGCCCCGAAAAGAACGGCAAGAGTATCTCCGCAAGTGACTTACTACGTCTCAACTCTAGGCGCCAGTGAAACTCAACTACTGTACCAAATGGCCGTCAACTGTATTGTTTCTTGAGACTCCTAGCACATCGAGCCGTGTCCACCGCCGCCTGTGGTGGTAGCCACCAACGGGGACTCACCTCAGCCTGAAGAGCACCAGTGCGGTTCCCTGCCGCTTGATCGAGGTTACATTGCATCGTCGATGTCTCAGTTCTATAGGAGCCTAGCACGGAGCGTCGTGGCATGGAGCAGTGCGGGACGGCAGGTTGCTGCCACATTCAGAGTTTACATTCACCAGTGCGATACATCCATATGCTGTCTCTGACAGAAACATACTTTGAACTGGCTCATGCAGGGCTTTCGCGCCTCTCATTTGGGAACAAAGAGTGCTTTTCGATGATCAACAACTCTGGTCTTTCGGGGCGACAGAGAGCATGGTTGAAGTAGAGTAGCGCTCAGGGATATCATTTCCATGCATAGGCCCAGTATCAGCTCACAGACTAATAAGGAAATAGAGAACAACACCAGTGACTACTCACTCTTTCATTAAGTATCATCCTCTTCCTTACATCATATATTCATCCACGCATTGCCATTTCCACTTGTGATAAAGGCAGCCACATCGACTTAGCTCAGGGCTAGAGAGCGTAGAGATAATACTGTAGCATCGTAAGGCAAACAAGATACTCTCCCCCCAGAGAGAAAATCTGTCAACCGTGCACCGGCCTCAAATCGCGCAGCCTAAGACATTTTGTCTAAGGTAGTTTCCCGTGCTAAGACAAATCCCCATATGAGGTAGTGTTAGCCGACCAAGATGATAGCCAGCCAAAAAGCACGGATCATCTCGATGAGCTTGCTGCCTAAGCTAGTCCCTTTTTATATAATGCACTGAGATTCCATATGTGACACAGGGACCTCATCGGTTTCAAGGGTGTACCGCCACTGAAAGATCCAAGATTTATTTACAGTTTGATGGCGAAAAAGCGTTGAATAGCTTTCCTGAACAGGCTGTGCATATTCCAAGTCTTACTGCTCACTCTGACTGGGTGTCCAAATCTCAAAGATTAGTTTAAGATTTCTTCGTGGGAGCTCTGCAGAGGCCCATTGACATATTGTAGCTAAGGATCGCACAACTGACCTATCTATTATGTCGGAATCCACAGACTCATCTGAGTCAAATTGTCATATGATGTAAACCAAGGCATAGTGAGCTTATGCCAGACTGCTTGCTCATAAAGTCGGATTGCTTTGACAGGAGTCTGTCAAAGCAGGGCTGGAACAGTTGTAGGAGTCTCCAAGCTTCAAGACACGTTGACTACCACGCGTCTTGCTGACCAGACCGTCGTTCACTTTGCAAGGCCCATCGATTGGGACCGAGAAATGTAGTCAATGGTCATGCGACTCTTTTTGCGATGGGTCCAACTATGGGTCGGGCGCCGGAAATGTTCCGAGCGAAATGCTGGGCCTGCCAACGGGATCGATCTTCAAGATTGATACCACTGCAACAGTCAATTCAAGCATTCAGCAGTGGTCCGTGGGGTCGAGACAAGAGATCTATGAGAACCTATTTCTTTAGCTCGAAGGTGGTCATCATGCAGAGGAGTCAGAAAAGAAAGATGATGGTGCGGTGACGCGGTCAGCCCTACCGTTGCTCCTCGGGGTCCGCGGAAGCGGACTCGGGAGGCTCTCCCCTTATAGGGCTGGATCTGTTACATGGCTGCCTATTACCCTTTCCCATTCACTGTATCTGCACCCTTGATAACTGTATGACAGCCCAGACCAAGAGATTAATCTCTCACTAGTTCGAGTCTTGATTTCATGAGTTCATGAGAATATCCACTGACAACTTCGCTCAGCACATCCAAGTTGTGCACTAACCCCACGTCGCTCGTTGACTGTTTCAGACCTTTCACATTGTACATTGCTTCGTCTCTTTGCCCAATGCAACTTCGCTCTCTTCTCGTCACCAGTATCTGGGTGGTGGGCTCATTGGCCTCACCAGTCCCGGAGACTGGCGACTCGTCGCAAAAGCACCTGTCCAACGCGCCCAATTCTCGTCCCTCTTTTCCCACTGTGACCGGACATGAGGTCCACCTGCCGTGTCTTAAATGTTCGCCAGAGGATGACAAGGGCCTAGTTGAGAACACAACCTCGACACCCTTCGTGGTACGGACCCAGATTCCCTTTATCCTGAGAGACCAGGATCGAAAGCTGATACTGTCACTAGGCAGTGAACCTCCGAACCGAACACAATGCCCTCCTGGTCAACAACGTCAGCGTCTTCCCCGCCGGATACCCCATGCAACTTCCAGCCCAGATGCACCACGACGGCAACATTGACAGCGCCACCGTCGAGACCGTCCTCCTGACCTACGGGGTGGACATCGAATACCTCCCACCGAGGGTCGACTCCCAGGTGGGCGACATGTACTTCGTGGAGGTCAAGTTCTTTGATTCCACCGGTCGCCCCGCCACCGCAAGCGTGATCCACGTCCGCCTGTCTCGCGACGCCGACGAAGACGACCTCTCCATCTCCCAAATCATCATCGAGCCGCTCCTCGACTACCATGCGTCCCACGGCCACGGCAACAAGGTGTGGCACGCCCAGTACTGGAAGATGCTGGTGGGCAAGTACAAGTCCTGGCGCAAGGAGCAGAAGAAGGCCCTCCACAAGAGCTTGCATGCGACGCCGGAGGTCCACGTCTCCTGCGGTGATAGACCCTGCACTCAGCCCTACAACACGGTCGTCACAACTGATGGGCCGGGACACCACCGCTACAACAGCAACGAGGCCAAGTCCCCGTTTGCCGTGGCTGGCCCGTCGATGAACGCCTACGTGCACCACCACCGGTCGAACCCCAACTTCTGGCGTCTCATCATCCCGGCGATGGTGCCTGCGTTGTTGGGGATGGTTGCGGGGTTGGTCGTGTGTACTACCGGGGTGGTTGTCTGGAAGATTATCTCGTGTGCGCTGGCTCGGTGCGCTGACAAGCGGGCCAAGAGATGTGCCCGTGGCGCCGGGTGCTGTAGGGGCTCGAGAGAAGCGGTGTCAGAGAAGCAGCAGCTTATGGCGCGGGAAATGGGGGCCAATTGCGATGTGTAGAGACTGTGATTGCCCCTTCCACTTCAGACAGACAAGATCAGACAGACAAGACAATGCGTATTGGGGTAACCCGTGGTAGCTACGAGGTGAAAGTACGGGATGAATGGATCGGGTAGAGAGCATGACGGGATTGTATGTGCTTATCATTCCTTGCGCAGAAAGGTCAGACTTTCAATAGATTGTGTGCCTACTCGCGTCAGCCTCACAATCAACTTTTCCCCTTTGTAGACGAGCCAGTCCCTTTTTTTGGGCTTTGACCCACTCTGGTAGGGGAATGTTCGAGGCGAAGCTTTGGACTTCCGAAGTTCCGACCGTCAAAATACACACACACACACACACACACCGCTGAATCCGTGCAGACTGGACTATTTCCGAGGCAGTGTAAATGGGGGCCAGGGGCTAAGCCACCGACTTTGGAGGGCAACACTGCTGCCACAATATTCTCGACTTACCACTTAGCGCCGATAATGTGAATAATTCTTCGTGTCTCGGGGTCCGCGGACCCCACCAGCCGACACACGATCTGACTGTCACAGACTCACAGTAGAGAGCCAGTTCATCTCCAACTGGGGAATGGATTGAGGAACTTAGAAACCAGCCAGGTGTGCACAAACTCAACTTGAGTCAAAACGTCGCTGAACCATCACCTGTCACCAGCCTCAGTGGAAACACGTACTCGTATTATTATCAGTATCCTATGCGGCGTCAAGCGGAGCGGTCCAACAGCCAGAAAGATCCTTCTTCAGCCCGCCCCATTGCCGCTGGGTCCAAGAGCGCGTCGTTGATTGGCCAAGCTTCCAAGCAAAGCTTAACCAAAGCTTGAGGGGGAAATGACTGGCGCAAAAACTGGCAATAATGGGTGGGGCCCGAAACGAGGCTGCCTAGCACTCGTTTTGCTCGGTGCACAACAGCCCGTGTCGTGCTTGCTTCGCTTCAACGGCCCGATGGCTGTACAACCCATACTGCCACGCTCTCCTCTACCACGCGCACGCTCACCGCAACAACCCTCCATCCCTTCGCAATTTACAGGGCCTGGCTCCACTGACGTCAAGCGCCCTGGACGTCCCTGTCCAGAATAGAAACACTCACCACTCACATCATCGTCCCTCAGTTTTCCCCCCGGCCAGCACAGCACTAGACTGCATGGATGATCGATCATCCTGAGCAGTCCTCTGTCGCCCAACGACGATGAAGTCATCGCGAATCGCTGGCTTTTCGCTGACGCCTGTTCTGTAGGGCTGATGCTGCGCACTGGGTCCTGGCCATTGGACCCCGGATTGACTTTGAAGAGATAAATAATCGGTGGAATCCACCGCTGGGGTGGGTTTTGTTTCTCTTTTTTTTTTCCCTCCCAGAATTGCCGACACCCGACTACCACCACAATAATACAATAATCCTCACTACCGTCACGCCTCCCTCTTCAACACTCACACTCACACTCAAGCGCATTCACTCATCACATCTTCACCATGTTCAACTGGTTCAAGTCGTCCAACAAGGAGTCCGCTCCCACTCAGCAGCCCACCTGGGACGCCAACACCGTGACTATGCAGCAGCCCTCCGGCCCTGAGGCCCCTGTCACCGAGCGGGTCGTCACCGGCCAGCCCGTACGTCTCCTGCCCCCGCTCCCCTCAATCAAAACCCCCCAAGCTCAAGCTAACCATTTCACCAACCAACAGAACCAGCCCGAACAGATGCAAATGAGCCTCCGTGGTGGCGGTGAGGGCGAAGACGTCTGCTGTGGAGTGTAAGTTCCTGCCCCAAACCTTTTATTTAACGAATCCAACTAACAAAACCCAGCTGCGCCGGTCTCTGCTGCTTCGAATGCTGCGAGTGCTGCTGCTAGACGCGATCAACCTCTCGCCGCCATGGCGGATAGAAATATTCCCCCGATGTTCCACGGTCTTACTATAAAGGGGTTATGACGACTGATGACCGGATCATCATGAGTCGCGCGTTTTTTTGTCTATTCTATACCGGATGAGAGGACGGGCGCCCGTCGTTGTGTATATTCTCATATACCATGATATATATTAATGCAGTCTATGCTTCATGAAGTGACTCCGTACTGAGTTTGGAGCGTATCCTTTCTACCACTATGGTCCTGGCTTGATTACGAGCTTCAAAAGAGTACTCGTCCGCGTGCGGTTGGGAATCTCATGAAACAACTTGCTTGTAACCGGTGACAACCTCATCATTGTCGCGCCAGATGCTAAGAAAAGGGGACACGAATCCCGACACTAATCCATACAGTCCTTGTGTTCTAGCTGCCGGTTTCCCCGGTCGCAGCCGCGCTGGGTGCCAGGCTCACTGCTAATCATTTAGCCGGCAGAGCCGGTCACGGAAACGGAGGCTAGTGGAAGAAAACGAGAGTTGGTCCATTATAGATGCAATGCCAGCCACACGACAAATTATCCCGGGTTACTTTTCCATCGCATATAGTAACTTTTATACACACTGATCCACAGCCACCCTCCTCCACTATAGTCCCAGCGGACAAACTTCCACCCTCACGCCCACTTTCCAATGAGCCCCATAATCCCCGCCCCCAACAGCGTACAGCCCACCATATACAGCAACTTGGACCGCCGGCGCGTGCGGCAGGGATCGAACAAGAAGTCGCGGGCCAGCAGCTCCACCAACGCACTGTAGATGAGGATGCCCGCGGAGATGGCGTTGAACACGCCCTGGATGATCAGCGACTCCTTCGAGTTGGGGTTGTAGGTCGTGCGCAGGCCCAGGCCGATCGCGATGGAGATCGGGGTGGTCAGCCCGTAGGCCAGGCAGAGGAGGTAGGGCAGCTTGGCGTGCCGGGCGAAGGGGATGGCCGACAGCCGGGCGCCGATGCCCAGCCCCTCGAAGGACTGGTGGAAGACCAGCACGGGGTAGAGGGTGGCGAACTCGGACCCCGTCACGCCCAGATTCAGCCCGATGATGACCGAGTGGAAGATGATCCCGAACTCGAGGATCAGGAAGGCGGCGATCTGCTGCCGGAAGGACCTTTCGGTCGCGTCAGCGTCGGCGTCGGGGGAGGCTGAGGCCGAGGCGGTGGTGGAGGTGGCAGGCAGGGGTTTTTCTCCGTCGGGGATGCGGCTGCGGCTGCGCCCTTCCGGGTCGACGTCGTGGGTGCTGTGCAGGGAGGGACAGGGGTCCTGGGCGATGAAGGCGCTCGTGGCCGACTCGTCGCGCTCGATGCCGTACTTGTGCTCCACGTAGACCTCGGCGGCCAGGTCGAGGAGGAAGATCAGCACGACGGCCGTCAGCACGATGGCCGCGCACCACGAGTACTCGCCCCAGTAGCCGGAGACCCCGACGCACGTCTTCGGGCCGATGCGCTTGTAGGCCGGGTCCAGCAGGTGGATGAACGCGGTGGCCAGGATGACGCCCGTGCCGAAGTAGCGCGCGAAGATGTAGACGTTGTGCGGGATCTTCCAGCTAGGGAGGCCCTTGGAGACCACGGGGAAGAAGGTGAACGCGGTCGAGACGAAGAGGATCACGAAGACGGAGGAGATCCGCGCCCCCAGGTGGCCGTTGTACTCGTTGTCCGAGATGGCGTAGTAGCAGAGCACGTCCTCCTTGCTCGCCGTGTGGAGGTTCACGTCGGAGGCGTTGAAGGTAGCCATGATTGCGGAGGAGGAGAGGACTGGGCTGCTTTGCTGCTCATGGTTGAGGACGGTGGCCCGATGGTGTAGGTCTTATAGATGTCGTTCTGGGGACCTTGGGGTAGAGGTGGATAGCAGGCTAGATAAATGGACACGCTTTCGGGGCTCTCAAGGTGTCGAGGAGGGTTTAGTCGACAGGAACTGGCCGGACGCTGTCAGCCCAGTGGGGGCAAACTGCCACATTGCCGAGTCAGCGTCTGAAACGATGACCATTGAGTGGAAGCTGAGTGGAGCATCCGTTTTCTGTGCTGCCTGGTCCACTTCGAGAACTATTTAAGCGCAGGTGCTTCCTTCCGTACATGGTGGCCATATCGCAGAGGGAGGATAGACTCTTGAGCCTGGCAACTTGTATGATCAGAAATCTACTGCCACTGGTGCATTTAACTCGAAACCACAGACTCATGGATATGAACAACAGAACAAGATTTGAGGGTGCCAAGAACGAGATGCTGGCAACGCGCACATGGAACGCCCTATAGGGCTGAGCTCCACTGGACTCCCGCAAGGTCCTCAACGGTCCCGCCCGAAAGTCCTTGCCTTGATTCCTTCCGCACGCTGGCAGCAGCCGAGTCTGCCCCTTTCTGCACACTCGCGACCGGAGATTTTCGCTTCAGTCTGTGGTTCACTGGAATTTCCCTCCAATGGACTTTTGATTAGGATGTGTTCTCGGTTACTGGATTCGAAGGTGTTGCCGGGTCTTGCACTCGGAGCACTGTCACTGGGCAAACACCACTACGAGTGGGTTCGTCCTGTTTTGCCAGCAACACATTACATCATAGCTTCTCTGCAACGAGGCAAATGAGGTTGCGCTGATGCTCGAACCACGCACTGTGACTTTCGACACTGGCGTCGCAGCACCTCACTGACCGGGAACAAGGAATCAGCTCTTTGTGCGACTTGCAAGTCAAGCCCCATGTCCAAGTCGTGCATCAAACATGTACTCTAATTCATGCATGGCCTTGCATTTGAATGCCAGCATGCGTTCCGCTTGTCGAAACATTAGCCCTAAAAGTTCATCCTTCCAAAATACTATTCGGCACATTGGAATCACGTGCAGAATCACTATCGAATTATCTCGTACGAGGTATAGGCGCCAAGAGCGAAGGGCTTTGTCTACTCTTTTTTTACATCATTGGCCTTGCAGTTCATATTGAGTCAATTTAAGGTATGTAATATTTTTCACCCCTGCATGGACATTCGGACATTTGGCGCAAACGAGTGACATCACCACCAGCAGTACAATCGCATGAAGAAAAACACATCCGGACAAACGAAGTGATGGCTGAGAGATGGAAGACCACAAACTCCAAGAAGAGTTTTGACTGTACCTTCACTCCCGCTTTACAGTTATCTAAGAGGTAGAATCCCGCCAGTAGTGAGAGTGAACGACCAACGCACCTTCCCGATGCGCCCTCCCGCTGATTTTTTTCATACAGTTGGGGAGCTCATAAGCTTTATACGATGAGTTCTTTTGTCTAAATGGAATTCTCCTTCTCTTGACGGTGTGCCACTCAATAATCTGTGATGTTCTCCTAGTGGCCAGGAGGGCTATAAGAATTATCATGGCCACTTTGACAACTCGCCTTGGCCACGCCACCATCCATCTGGCCCTGTCAAGATTATCACTTGACTATCCCATAACACAGGCAGTCATAGTCTAAAGTTACTCCTGAGTCCCGCCACAATGGATGATTGCGATGTATTGTTCGGCCCATTGTTTCTGTCTGGCACAGAAGGGCCCGTCATCGGCTGCACGTTGCGAGCGGTAGGCCCAGACGTTGACCAGCTGAGCTGGGACGACCTGGAACTGAAGCTGGTCCAGGGCATGCATGCGTACCGGACCACTCTTCCCCAGGCGTCTCCTTTCTACGGGGTGATCTACCGAAATTGCCTGGTGCGATTTTACCGGGAGGTGCTGGGCGAACCGGGAGCGATAATCACCGAGTATCATCCGACTCTGCTGTGGGGACCCAGGGCGATGCATGCCGATATTGATCGTGAACTCATCGAGCTGTGGTTTAAGCAGGCGCGGGGCGTCGCTGTGCATGAGCAGTGGTAGGTGACTGTATACTCGAATACATATCTACTCTTGCTCGATCGAGCGCGAAATTCGCCGCTTTTTACTGCTACTGTCTTTGGTATGAGATCATAGATACAAATCGATATCCAACCATTTGTTTTCAGTAGTAACAAACGAGGTATGTGATAGCTCCGGGCTAGCATATGTGATGTTGATATCTCATGCCGTGCTTGTACAGAGTATCAATCGAATAAACGTATAGCCACTCTAGCCTCATCAATGTCAGAGTCCTTCCACTACGCGAACCTCGCCCATCAACCTCAATAATTTTGTATCTGCCTCTATAGTGTTTCCCAGGCATCTATGTGGCGTCGCCAACCCTAGGCCTACCGGCTCATGAGCGCCCGGCGGACATCCTAATCCCCGAGCCTCCAATCCTTCAGCGAAACCTGCTCGGACCTTCTATCCCCCATCTAGGACTGGAAGTGCCTCCTTTTCCTAAAATCTACTTTTTCTCTTTCCCACTCGAAGATGCGACCGCCATGGGGTTTGGAAATGCTTGGATCATAGTAGACCATATCTTGCTGGTCGTTATACTTGTATACCTGGTACTCGTGGCCGACTCCAGATATAGAATACTCTGTGAGACGGTTATGCTTCCTATATATTCTAGACTGGGCAAACAAGCAACAAGGATTATGAAGTATGTCTACATAGTCCTCGAAAGAAAGGGCAGTGTCGGAAATGTGACAGATAGAGACTATCTACCAAAGATAAGACCATCCGAACCAGAGAAGCGAATATGTATTGATTTAAAATAGAAGTACTATCGGAAAGCTAGCTAATAGATGCGTATTGCTTCCCCGTTCTCAAGGAAAGCAATCAAAGATAAACAAAATCCCGAAGTCTATTGACCCCCCGCAGCATCCGCTTTCTTCTCTGCACTCTCCCCCTTCTTCTCCGCATCAGGCTGAGGCTGCCCCTGCTTGATACTCCTCCACTCCAGCGTCGCGGCGCCCAGCAGCGTCAAGCACGAAATGATCAACCCAGCCCAGAACACCCTCCTGAGCGCCTCATTATACGAATGTAGCACCGTACCACGCAGATTCGCCGGCATCGCATCCAACAGCTCCGTCACGCCCCCGGAGGTGACCAGCCCGCGATCAAACCCCGGCAGCCCGGCCAGCCTCTCCACCAGCTGATTAGCCAGGATATTCTCGCCGACCGACACGAACACCGCCGCCCCAATGAGCTGGCCGAACAGCATCAGCGCCAGCCCAGACGGCACGTCGGGCTTCGGCAGGACGGTCTGCGCCGCGAGGTTGGGAACCTGAAAGCACAGCCCCAGACCCAATCCGTAGACGACCTGGTAGCCGATCCACTTGCCCGCGCCGCTGTCCACCTGGAAGGTGGTGAGGAGACCAGCGCCGACGGCCATGATGCAGGATCCGATGATGGCGAGGGGGGTGTAGTATCCAACCTTGGAGTTGGTGATGCCCCCGCCGATCGAGCCGACGACCATCGCCAGCATCATGGGTAGAAGGCGGATGCCGGATTCCACGGCGGAGTTGCCTTTGATCGATTGGAACCAGATGGGGAGGAAGTATACTGCAATTCGTGTTAGTGGGTTGTCATGGTTTGCGGTCAGACAGAATATAAACTACCGAAGATGTAATTGCCGGAGCCCACACAGAGGGTCTGCCAGAAGCCGGAGATGATGCTGCGCTGCGAGAAGATTCGCACGGGGAGCGTCGCGGTCTTGGGAAGGAAGATCTGCGCGGCGATGAACGAAAGGAGCAAGACGCCTGCGAGGACCAGGCAAGCCACGACGCGGCCGTTGCTCCACTGTTGAGCGTTAGTTGCGGTCTAAGGGATCAATCTCGATGACTTACCGGATACGTCTGCCCACCCCACTGGAGTGCCAGGATGAGACAGACTACGCCAGAGACCAGAAGTGTAGTGCCGAGGAAGTCCAGCTGTATCAGCTTCTCAGTCCACGAGACTCTGGTAGTATCTTGCTTGGGAACCTTGAGGCAAAAGGCGATGAAGACCATCGCGGCGCCACCGATTGGCAGGTTGACATAGAAGCACCATCGCCATGTCACGTTTGATGTAAAGGCGCCGCCGATCAAGGGTCCGACGATTGAGGCGATGCCGAACAGGGCACCGAACAGCCCCTGGATTTGGGGACGCTTCTGCAGAGGTACCGAATGGATGATGCACATGATCTATCATAGGACTATTAGCATTATATCTCCGAAATAGGGACTGAGTGCCTCACAGTTCCAGCGAGAATGCCAGCAGCACCAACGCCGCAGATAGCTCTTCCAACGATGAAGGCCACGGAGTTGGGGGCAGCACCGCAGATGGCAGAAGCAACCTCAAACAGTAGGATACTGGCGAGAAAGACTGTTCTGACAGAGAAGAGCTTGTACAGCTTGCCAAACAAGAGTTGAAATGCGCAGCATGTCAACAAGTAGGCGCTGCCGTACCAGCCGACGTCGTCGAAGGAGTTGAACTCATCGGTGATCTTGGGGATAGCCTGTGGTTGGCGTACACATTAGCGTCAAGTCAGGACAGGACATAAGAAAAGGATGCTCGTACAGTCGAGATAATCGTTCTGTCCAGTGCAACCAGAAACATAGCGACAAAGGCCGAGACGATCAGACAGACAACCCTAAGTCTCGATTGACCCTCGGGTGGGCCCGGAGGGCCAGAAGGGCCCCCAGCATTGGCTGCCCCTTCGCTTCTGGCTGCTGCCTTGTCCTGATTGACCAACTCCGGATTGTCGGTACCAGCTGACTTGATGCTCGCAGAAGTGGAAGTGCGTGGGGGATCCATGATAACGTGGTGTTCGGCGCTCCGCGAGGCAGGGGCGCAATCAATCGGATGAAAACGCACGAGTGGTGAGTCTGTTTCGCAGGCAGATCACTTATCGAGGGAAATGAAGGTTTTTAAAGGGCCGCAAGGGGCTAAAAGTGCGTTCCAAGATATTCACTTCAAGCAATTGGCAGTGAGCATGACCAGCGGTCCGGGGGTTGCAGAACCCAGTGGTCGGGGGTTAGAAAGTGCGAGGCTTACCCAGTGGCGTCAAGTTCGGCCCTCATGAACCCCGACTTTTCCCCTTCATCCCTTTTTATTCCATCAACAAACCACAAACCTGGCATTCGGACTCCGGGACTTTCTGCAACATGTGCGTCTGAAAGCTTGTTAGTCTGAAGCCATGGCGACGCCATTCTCTGCATTTCCACCGATTGCGCCCGTCCGAGCGTGAGTGCTGACGGTCAGCGACGCAAGGCCAAATGTGATCGCGCCCCAGATTCTGCACGATAATCACCAGTCATCCTTCACCGCGTTGATAATATCTGGTCAAGTGCCATGAAGCACGCAGATTAGCAGTGCCTGGTGTGCGGGTCTAATCAGACCTAGCGCACACCCTTTGTTTCTCTCATCGCTTTGGTACTTGATCTGCATCGACATGCACATCGGTGATAGAGAGGGCTTGATACATGAAGTGAATATCGTTGAAGTTGAAAGATCAGCTTCTTCCGACCAGGATGAACGGACGTGTTCTTCACACACAAAGCAGGTCAGGATGCTCGTGAGCAGCCTTAGTCAATTTTCGACTATAGCTATGTCGCATCTTTCACCGTGTAGTTTGTCTCAAGCTTGACAATTTTGCAAGGTATAAGAGTTATCCCAGCAGTGCAGAGTGCAATGCCTCAGTATGCGACTGATCAGTCTCAAAATACTATCCAGACCTGGCCAAACATCCCCAGGAACCCTCAATCCACCAGCCCCAGGACCCAAAACACCTCATCCCGAATCACCTCCGGTGCAACCAACTGCAAATTATGCGTCCTCGCCTTCCCTGTCGCATACACGAACCGACTCCGACTCGACAGCGACAGATGAGCCCGTTGCCCTCGCTCATCCATCTCTTCCATGACCGCCAGCCGCTCCGCCAGCCGCCGTCTCGCCTCCTCCGAGCCATGGCCATGCTCCACCCCATAAGCATAAACCTTCCCAAAATCCACCGACTCATTCGCAAAAATCACACTCAACCTTCCGTTCCCCAGCGCCTGCACCCCCTCGGGAATCGCCTCATTCAGCTCCTTGGTACTCGCCGCAATGAGCGCCAACTCCGCCTCCGCCGTCGCCCGATTCCTCACCTCATCCTCCTTAATCGCCCGATACTCCTCCGGCGCCACCGCCACGTTCTCATCCAACCCCACAACGGCATAGTAATCGGAATCCCCCATCAAACTCGGCCAATCCGCAGGCAAGGGGGTTTGCGCCCGCGGCGAGTCGACAATCACCATCCCGACGACGACGTCGGGGCCGCGTTGGCGCAGGAACTCGCGGACCAGGACCCCACCGTAGGAGTGGCCGATCAACACGTACGGCGGCGGGATCTGCGCCGCGTCGAGGAGCTGCGTCAGCTCGCGGACGCGGTTGTGCGCGGTCGGCGGCAGCAGCAGCAGCGGGGAGGGCGGTTCGCTGCTACGCCCGTAGCCGGCCCGGTCGTAGGTGTAGACGCGCGCCCGGGCGGCGATCAGGCGCTGCACCGCGACCCATTCGACGTGCGAGCTGCCGAGGCCGGCTTCGATGATCACGGCCGGGGGGAGGCTGCCATTGCGCTTCTGGCGTTCGGGGCCCGCGGCGGAGAGGAAGAGGGAGGGGCCGCGTTCGGGTAGTGGGACGAGGGCGGAGTGCGTGCCTTTGTTCCAGGGGGTGGTCATTGTCGCTGAAATGATATCGAGTGGGAGGGTTGTGATGGCCAGTCTACAGTGTGTAGCTTGGGGTATGAGCGTGAGAAGCTTGAGAAGAAAGAGGAAGGGGAGGGGGGTGCTACTGGAATTAAGTCTAGGTGCTCGTGCTTATCACACCAGCGGGTCATGGCAATGCTTATTCGTGCAATTGACTGTAGCCTGGTTCCTGGCATGTTTACTAAACAGGAACTAGTTAGATGGTTAGTGAAGTATAACAGTAAAACAGTATTATACTATAAGTACTGCGCTAGTGAGTCAGCTCACGGACTGTATACTGTTGGTATAGGAGGTGTAATGGATATACAATGTAGACTCAGGTGTAGTAAGATGCAACACCGCTAATCTTCGCAGTAGCACAATCTAATTTCACACATTCTACTGCAGGACTTTACCCAAGCTAAGGGTCTATTGATCGTACAAATGATAGGAAATAGCCCATACCAATAGTCTATCGTGTTTCTAATCTCCAGTAATCAAACAATAGGTACATCGCTGTTGTGGTATCCGTCGTCGGCACAGTCTATAGTTATATTCACCGCGCTGATGTTATTGCCCTTATTGCCCCCAATGCTCCCCCTTCAACCCTCCCCACGACCTTTCTCTTCCAGCACACTACCCCTACTCCCACTCAACGCCTCCGAATCAACCTCCGACCCCTCCTTGCCACCAGTATTTCCCTGGCTCCCAATCCTCAAAAACGCACACAACGGGATTCCCAACGACGCGATCCCCGCACAGTACAAAAACGTCGCACTATAGGGCTCAATCGGATCGCCCCTGAAGTAACCCCCGGTGGCCGTGCCCCTCGCGACAACCGCATCATAAATGGCCGTACTAATCCCCATCCCGATCGTCACACACAGCTTGGTGACAGTCTGAAAGATCCCGCCCGCGATACTCTGCTGCGCGGGGGGCAGCGAGCTCATGACGTACATGTTGGCAACGCAGAACTCGAAATCCGCGCCCACGACCGCCAGCACCAGACCCGGGAAAATGAACGCCCAGTAGCTGCTGTCCGAGTGCTGGAGGCCCATGAGCAAGAACGAGCCGACGTAGGCGGTGGCGCCGACGGCCATCAGCAGGCTGTTGGAGACGAGGTGCATGATGAGGCCGGCGATGACGTTGACGATGATCCCGCCGATGGCCATGGGCAGCATGTGCACGGCGACCATGAGCGGCGAGTAGCCCTTGATGCGCTGCATGAACAGCGAGACCCAGAAGGACATGATGGGGAACGCCAGGAAGCCCAGCAGCAGGATGGCGATCACCAGCGAGAAGTCGCGGTCGCGCCAGATGCTCATCGGCACCAGCGGGTAGGCGTACCAGTTCTCCCAGAAGACGAAGGCGATCATGAACAGGGCGCCCAGGACGAGGAGCACGAGGACGTAGGGGGTCTTCCAGCCTTGCGGGGCGTCGGAGCCCAGACTTTTGGGCGGTGGTTAGTATTGAAGACAGTAAAGAAGATGAGGCGGAAGAAGGGAACTCACCTCAGGGCACCGGAGAACATCCCGATCCCCGCGATCGTAAGCAGCGTGCCCACGATGTCGAATCTCTTGATCGCCTGCACGGAGATCTCCGTCTTGGGCGAGTGGTCGACCGGCACGCTGAAGACGGCCACGACCACCACCACCACGTAGATGATGGCCAGCAGGAAATAGCTGGCGCGCCAGTTGAAGAGCTGCGTCGCGATCCCGGAGAATACGCTCCCAAACACAAAGCCCATCGGGTTGCCCGCGCTGAAGCACGCGAACACGCGGTTCTTCCGCTTGGACGGCCGTTGGTAGATGTTGGCCAGCATCCCTTGGCCCGGCGGCACCGAGGCCGCCGACATCAGGCCCATCACCCCGTTGAGGATGTCCAGCTGCAGCGGTGTCTTGCTGAACCCAGCCGCCAGGGAAAAGACGGCGAATAGGACCATACTCCCGAGAAAGAGGGACTTGCGACCGAAGAGATCCGCCAGGCGGCCGAAGAATAGCAGGAAGGATCCGGCGGCCAGTCTGGAGGGCAGGGTTAGCGTATGATACTAGGGCTAGTGGTACTTGGGGAATGGGTGCGTACGATGAGGAACCGCTGAGCCAAGTCAATTCCGCCGTGGTCATGTTCAGATCATTCTGGACTTCAGCGGTTATCACGGTGACGGCTCCGCTCACGAGCGAGGACATGGCGATCGCCATGGTCGCCACGGCAACAAACATGATTTCCTGGACAGTGGATGAGAAGACCTCAGGACGGGCTTCATCGTCGACCGGGCTGGTCGCAGCTATAGCGGTGGTCACCCCGTCGGATTTCTCCGACGGTAGACTACCATCAGTCGGCCGCTCCATGTCGTCTCGGAGCATCACTAGAGAGTACCGAGGGGGGGGGGGTTGAAGGGAAGGGAAGAGCGGGTAAATGATCTTGATCTCAACCTCGAGCCATGGGGTTTAAATGCCGGGTGGGCGATGGAAGTATCACCGCCATTTGGGAGAGAACTTGCCAGAGAGGAAACTGCATGATTACGCGATGGCGCGGCGAAATTTCCGCAGCGGCGATGAGTGCAAATTTGGGGTTATTCTCGATCGGTCTTAGGGTTGGTCTTGGCCCTCTGTGTCTAAGATTTGAACTACAGTATTCACTCCGTTCCGAAGTCCGACCACGCCTCCTTTGATTGCGCTGACTCACAAGTGATCTGATAACAAATACTTATCCTAAGCTACTCGAATTCTGCCTACAGTATCCAGTTGGCCCCAACAATTCACCGCCAGTAACTTCCTGCAACAGGTGTTCGGCTCGAGCCGCAGCTCGGGATCTGAGTTCCGAATGCGGTAACATTGACATTTTCTCTGCAGTTTTCAATTGACTCCGTCCTGCTTATTGCTTACCTATTGTATTTGCTGGCTGCACAGATTTGCTTTTCAAATCAACAAGTGACCGCTCACATGCGCATTCTTACGTGGCCATCGGAACGCAAGTAGTTGCCCCCAACCTGAATCATCTCTTCCATTGTCCTTCTGTTCGGAAACGACCCGGGTCTGGATTCTTCTTCGGGTGGAGACTGCCTCTCCACTGTTCCGGGCTTTAATTCAGCTACAATTCTTCCCACACTTTACAGGTATCATTTGTCATACCATGATGTTGGAGCGATCGGCCTTTTCGCACGATGTCGAAGATATCATCCGCCACCAGATTATGTGAGAAGTGAGCAGAAAAGGCACAACCTGATGTTTGCCTCTATTGGTATGTGGGTAGTGTTAAGGATAACTTACGTCATCCAAGGTCTCGTGGCGCAATGGTAGCGCATTAGTTTCCGGTACTAGAGGTTGTGCGTTCGAGTCGCACCGGGATCGTTTTTTGTTTTTCCCCCTTCTGCCCAGTTCAAGGTCTGTCACCGCACTTGTTGCCTACATCATGGTTTTTTTTTTTCTCTCTCTCTTTTTTCCTTTTCTGTTTGCACCTTGCATTTTTCATTAACACTACTGTGCGGACTATACACTCTGTTCATGAAATCCTCGATGTTGAAGCCACATCCGATTTGGCACTCTCGAGACTTTCTATGAAGAGTGGGAGATATATTTCGGCTCATGATTTCAGTACTTGACTAGTCGTTAGGGAAGGTGAAGGTGACAAAACTAAAAACCGCCTCGCTTCCCATTCAATCTTCTCGATAATCAATTCCAAAACATAATACAACACAGACTGCCCAAACATGCTCAGAATCTCCTCACGCCAGCCCCTCCTTCCCACCCTCAACCGCTTTCAAAAACATCAACCACATTCCCCCTGAACTCCAGATTATGGATCTTGTCGTTCCGAAACCCACGATCCAAATGCCGCCGGCAGATCGCCTCCACGTGCTCCTCGTTCCTGAGCTGGATCTGGTTCGTAGAAGATGATACCCCCCGAGAATCGCGTCTTGCTTGTTCTGCTTTTGAGGAGCCTGGTCCCCTTTCCCGGGTCGCATCCAATGCATCGGCGGGGAGCTCTTCCTCGCGACTGGGGTTCTGCCTGTGTGCCTTCACGCTCTTCACCCCGTATGCAACGCTATTGACCACCAACGCGGTACCTAGCAAGCAGCCCGTTAGCAAAACACACCAGCCCAGGACGATTCAAAGGGAAATGGGACGAACTGGTAAAAGGAAGCAGAGCGATGTTCCCAAAGAACCGGGCGGTTCCCACCCCGACGTCCTTCGCGAGGTTGGGTCGGCCCTTGCCGCGGGGGTTATCGCCACCGTCGGGCATGGAATCCTGTGGCACCAAAGGAAATCAAGTCAGACGGCAGTATCGAGATGGAATGTTTGCGTCGTGGCGTGATACCTTCTTCCGCAGCCCGGGGACCTTGCTCACCAGGTCCGAGGCACTGACGATGTCCTTTGCGGCGTGGGAGATTCCCCCCCAGTAATCCTTGGTCGGACGTTCGGAGGCGGGTTGCGTGGATGGGATGTTATATGGGCACCGCGTGATCCTGCATTCGGGTCAGTGGGTCCATCTCGCGGCGGTTCAGGTTGCGGATGCGGGAGAGGCCTACAGCACGAGATCCGTAAGCTTGATGCGTTGCTCCTGCAGCAGGACGGCTGCCGCCTCCGGGGAGATTGTCTGCGACGGTCGGTTCCAGATCTGGTACATGGCCAGGTCCTGCTTGGTCATGCTGCAGGGGTGGACCTGCGGAGGCAGCCAGCGGTAGAAGGACTTGATGGCGCTGGCGGCCCCGGCCTCGTCGAGGAGTTGTCGCTGGATGGCTCGGGTGGTCTGTTGGACGTCGGTGCGGAGGCAGAAGGCGATCGCCTGGGCCAAGGACTCGGAGGTGAGCTCGTTGGCGCGTAGTGGCGAGGCGGCGGCGCCGATTTTCGCGACGGTTTGGCCGGTTGAAAGGTGGCTGGATGAGTCAGTGTCTAGGAGTTTCGTGATAAGAGCCCGGGGAGTGTTACTCGTCGGTCTGTGCGATGACCACGCTTGGTTTGCCATGCCGTAAAGCCATTTTCGTGGTGTCTATGCTCCCGTTGTGGACGACCAGAGATACTCTGGGGAGTAGCCAGTCTGTTTGAAAGAGTGAGTGATGCTGACACCACATCATGATAGAGACATGGAACCTACCGCTGGCACTGGAGTTGACAACGTAACCGTTGGGATTGTTCAACTTCGCACAGACGTGCCGGCACTCTTCAGAGACAACAATCCGAAGCCCACGATTTAGTATACTCTCCCGAATGACTGTCACCAGCAAATCCGAGTCCACGATGCTGGTGTCTCTCATCATGAGATAGATCGGTGCTGCGCCCGACGAGATGAAGTTGTCAAGATCCTTCGGTGGGCGGTCGGACTCTTCGGGTTCGTGCAAAATATAGCCGGACATCTCTGCAGGGACGTCAACCAGTCAATTCACTCTCGTAATGGTCAGAGAGCGCGTATCCGCTCACCATGATTAATCGCCCAATCCCTCGGCTTCGGAACCAGAATCCTCGAGCAGAAGTACGTATGTGGAATCTCGTGGTCCATTATCAGCCTTCCCGCCACAGTTGGGGAAATGCTCATCAACCCGAGAACCTGTCGTCGGAATATGTTGAGGGGCTCCAAGATTCTGGTATAATGATGTTAGTCCTCTTCTCTCACTGAACAAGAATCGCTGGACTCACAAACGCCACGTCGACTCCTCAATTAACGCATAAGACAACATGTTGGCAGTCGGCTGATCGATCTCCTCGTTGGGATCCAGACGCGCTCTAGGATGCGGGAAGGCTTTGGTAGGGCTCTGCGGTGTCGCGGACATGATCTGCAGCGGGATCGATAGACGTTCCGCGCAGTGGATGTGGGCATGCGCCGTTGGGGTGGCGATGATCGCGTCCGCCATGAAGGGGCGGGCGTCGTCCCGGTATGGCGCAATGCAGGCTTGCCAGCATCGTTTGTATGCCTCAAAGAGGGAATGGCGGAGGTTGCGGACATGGTTCGCTCGGTTATCGGCTGAGTCGAGAGTTTGACCATTGGCTGTCCTGAAACTCTACACAGAGAGTCAGTCTTACATTTTTAATCCGAGAAGGAACACCTACTCGTGGGGATGAGGTGATCGGAGGGATGGCGAAGAGGTCCAGTCCGTGACTTCGTACCCTCGATGCGTATGAGACATCTGCAGCGATCCGGACCCGGTGGGAATCTTGCTGGAGTTGTTTTGCGATGCTTATGAAGGGGTCAATGGATTCTGTCCTGAAAGTTTAGCATTGAGATGAGCAACGACAGGACACCCGGCGTCATTACCATCGACGACCATCACCACGATGTCCAGTGGTGGCGGGTTAGGGCTTTCCGATTGGGGTTCACCACTTGAAGGAACGCTGCTGCTACTCCCTCCAGACTCGCTGCGATTCAACCCTACACTCACCAACCGAGCCTGCGTGCTCGGCCGCATGAACGCCTCGATGAAAGCAGACGTGCGCGACGTGATGTCCGCATTGATGCTAAACTTGCTGTGTTCTGATCGCAATCGTTAAACAAGCAAGAGCAGGTGGCTGCCGATCAACTCACTTTCCGGCGCAAAGCAGTAGTCCAGCTCCCGTGAATCGTTGGTAAACTCAGGGGGAAAGTCCGGCTCGATGGTCCAGAGGGACGCTTCTGAGGACGCGACTGAAGCACGCGCGGGGGAATATGCAGGCGGTGGATCCGAGTAGTCATCAACGATGCGGATTTGTTCAATGTTCAAAGATTCCTTGGAATCCATGTTGCAGCGTCTAAGGAGAGATGTAAGTGTAAGGGTTGTTGAGAGTGGAAGGATCGTTGGAAGAATTACATTCACAATTAAGCAATCTAAGTTAGGCTACCATGCTTCTGTCTTTTAGTCTTTCCAGTTCAATAGTAGAACTATATTAAGAACCAATTAAAGTGTCATTGATTTAGCTTTTTCCGATACACCGCGCATCGATTGCGGCAGGTGCCCTCAGCAGGACGCATGGCGGTTCCAGAACGTGGCTCGATAGTGGAGCAAGACGAGACCCCAACACATTGCTAGAAAACACTCTAAAGCCAATTGAGTTGTCAGGTAAGGGACAGAAAGGTTGAAACAAAAGTTTGAACATGGCGATCAAGCGGGTCAAGACGTCCGCCATGCTCGGGTTCGTACTCGGGTTCGGATCTAAGCTCAGAACGGTTTTTTGCGAAATGACCCACAGGCTCGGATCGTCCGCCAGGGACGATGAATCTGTGTACGTATGTGAAGAAGTTGCATGTCGAATCTATACGAACCCGATGAGCGGAGGCAAAATGTGATTGCCTAGATCCTGACCGAAGTCGAGATTCTATCAATGAAAAAAACAGCCAAATGCTCGCCGGCGACAAGTATTGAGCTATAAATATTTCACTGTACTTTGGACCCTATTGTAGGGATATAAAAGTGCATCGACTTCTGGATAACTAAAAACCATTATATACATCTCAATTGTTATATCAACGCTTCTCTGCATACAACGCCCAGACTTGAGTTGATACCCCTTCACCATGTTAGCCGCAAGATCCGAATCCACATTCGTGCTCTACGAGTACGACCCCAGCCTGCCGGCCGCAGTCATCTTCGCTGTGCTGTTCTTCTTGACCACGGCAGTCCATCTCTTCCAGCGGGTGCAAACCCACGCAAAGTACTTCAACCCGTTCATTGTCGGAGGAATCTGTAAGTAGTTAGAACGATCTCTCAGGCAATCCATCAATCTTACTGAGGAACCTCCAGTCCAGATCGTCGGCTACATCGCCCGCGCAGCAGCGCACTTCCACCAGACCTCGACCACGCTCTACGCCATCCAGACCCTCCTGCTTCTCCTCGCACCAACTCTCTACGCCGCCTCGATCTACATGGTCCTGGCCCGGATCATCACCTTCGTCAACGCAGCCGACCTGAGCATCATCCCCGTAAAATGGCTGACCAAGGTCTTCGTGTCGGGGGATATCCTATCCTTCCTTCTCCAAGCAGCAGGCACGTAGCCTCTCCCTCCCCTCCATCCTGTCCCCCATATTCTAACACCGGAGACAAAACAGGCGGCGGAATCATGTCCGGCGGCTCCGCGAGCGGCATGAAGATCGGGCAATGGGTCATCGTCGGCGGTCTCTGCGTGCAGCTAATCTTCTTCGGCGCCTTCCTGCTCGCCTCCCTCACCTTCCATCGGCGCATCGCCAGCCACCCGACCGCGCAGTCGGACAAGGCCACGGATCGCGGGAGCGGCAGCTGCTGGCCGCGGGACTGGCGCGGTCTGCTGTTCGCGTGCTACCTCGTCAGCGGGCTCATCCTGGTGCGGTCGGTGTACCGGCTGATCGAGTTTGCGCAAGGCAACAGCGGGTACGTCATCAGCCACGAGGCGTTCCTGTATGTGCTGGATGCGACGATGATGTTCCTGGTGATGGTGGTGATGAACCTGTTTCATCCGTCGGTGGTGCTGCAGAGCGAGGTGCGCCATCATCGGGTGGGGTCGGAGGAGGTCGGGCTGCAGCTTGAGCGGCGGGGGTCGCCTGCGTCGGCATAAATGCGGAGTTTGGGTCGAGGTTATTCTGAGGTTTCCTTCTTACATGCATATTGCAACTTTTGTTTCGGTGATTTCTGTGTGGCTTTTCTGATTGATAGACTGTTTTGGATCCTGAATTGTGAATGCTGTTTGTTTTATTCTGCCGAGTTATTGCTTGATCACTACCTAGAAAGCTTACTTCAATGGAGTTCTTCCAGAATTGTGTCATCCAAGTCTCTCTCATTGCCGAAATATGGTTACCATTGCTTCTTGGATTGTGTAGGGATAGTGAATGGGTATGCGGATTTCATGCCAAGCCTTGGAAACGTTGAACGTCCCGTAGACCTGCATTATTTAGACGCGTCTGTACATCAGAAGACAAGATAGAACGATGAAGAGATCCCGCATCAAGTCACTCAGAAGCTCCTTTTTACTGAATTCACCCTAGTAATACAGCCCCTAACATTGCTAAACAACAAGTTTAGCATTCAGATTACAACGCAGTGAAATGATTTAGATCCTACCAGAACATTAGGACCTGTATAAGAGATAACTCAGATCAAAGAGTCTAAGATCTCGAAACGCCAATTATAATTAGATATCTTGATCATATAGTTTAGGCATGTCTTCTATATTCTGGCTTCCTTCAACCACTAAAAGGTCTTGGCAAAGACACGCTGGGTTGGGCGGAAGGATCAGTGGCCAATCAAATTTAAGGCTGAGTGGACCCGGCACTGCGTCTGCCGTGTTTGGCGTGTTTGCACCCGGCAGGACGAGATTAGCGTGCGCCAAGAATAGCTCAGCATCCAGGCTTCCACCATAACAACGTCATCTAAAGAGGCTTGTATTCACGCCAGAAGAATTTGGATGCCTGGGACATCTCTGCATCTACTGTAGTTGTAGCATACATAGTTCAAGAAGGTCTCCGAATAGGCAGCCATGGCAGTGAACCTGCGCAGCAGATGACTCGGACGACAAGTCTGGGCAAAAGAAGAAAAGGGTCCACTTGACCCAGGGACAAGAAAACGAACTTTGATCCATCGCCTCAACGTTAAAACTTGCATGATCAGGCGAAACATCTGGGCTGCGATGGCAACCAAGACATCTCGCCCTGTTACGTGATTTGGCTCCTCCAGAGTGCGGTGGTGCCCAGTAATCTCCGATTGAAAATTGTTCAACCCGGTGAAAACGGGTCTGGAGCAATCAAGGTTATCTTATCGCCGGCACTGATTTGCGCGGGGCTTCTCCAACAAACAGAAAATGTCGGCCAGCTCCACAGTCCGAGGACGCCGGACTCATCGCAAGTCACGTAACGGGTGCCAGCAATGCAAGCACCGAAAAGTCAAGGTGGGATGCTTCATACCTCTTCCCAGCAAAGGTATCACCGGAGCAGTATGCTGACACTATGCTGACACGAATGACAGTGTGGCGAGGAAAAGCCGACGTGCGACAACTGCATGCGCCATGGCGTACGGTGTTCCTTTGCGGTCTCGACGCGAATGGCCGAAACCGCTTCCTCATTGACCGAAGCCACCTCCGCATCGAGTCGCAACTCGACGCCCAACTCCAGCGGCAGACGGAGTCCACCCGTCGAATTCCCCGATGACACCGCAACCAGCCGCCTACCCCAGCCACCCTCCTCAACCGGCACCTCAGACCTCGCCATCGCCGACCTCGAGCTCCTCCACCACTACACCACCTCGACCGCGTACACCTTCTCCGCCAACCCGACCCTGCAGACGCTGTGGCGCGTCGAAGTCCCCAAGGTCGGCTTCACCGCCCCGTACACCCTGCGGGCGATCCTCGCGCTCTCCGCGCTACACCTGGCGAGCCTCCGCCCGGGACAACAAAAAGACCACTACCTCGGCCTGGCCAGCACGCACCACGACGCGGCCCTGCGCCTGGCCACCCCGGCCATCGCCCAGCTGACCCCGACCAACGCGACGCCGCTCTTCCTCTTCTCGGCGCTCTCCTCCTTCATCTGCTGCGCCAAGCCGCTCAAACTCGGCAACTTCCTGCTGTGGGAGGGCCACGAAATCGCCAACTGGCTCCTCCTCATCAAAGGGACAGGCACGATCGTCGCCGTCGCCGAGGACACCCTCAAGAACGGACCCCTCGGCCTGCTCTTCAGCGTGCACCGCCGACCGCGCGCCCACGATTTCGACGACGCGGCCGCCACGCAGCACGCCTTCCTCGAGGACCTGCGGCGGTTTATCCTCTCCGAGCCCCACGACGACCCCCACGCCAAGGCCATCTACTCCGAGGCCATCGACCACATGAGCCACTGCTTCACCCTGTGTCACGAGAAGGGGTGGCGGCTGGAGACGGCGGACGTGTTCATGTGGCTGCTGCGCGTGCCGCATGATTTCCTGCTCGCGCTCAAGGAGTACCAGCCGCCGGCGATGGTGATCGTCGGGTATTTCTGTGTGCTGATGCACCAGCTCGAGTGGATCTGGTGCATGCGCGGCTGGGGCACGCATATCCTCTCCCAGATCTATGAGCAGGTGCCTGGTCCCGTGTACCGGGCGTGGTTGCAGTGGCCGATGGAGCAGATTGGGGTGTTGTCGGGGAGGTGAGGGTGGAGTTCTGGTGGGAGGTGGAACGTGGTAGATAGGGTTGGTCCGGGCTCGTGACTTGACTTTGATGCCGACCGAGCAACTTATAACGGTTCCCCGTGCCGGGATGCATCACACATTGGCAGCGTTAAGGCGTTTTCATCTTCTTCTCCTGAGCGTGAGCATCCTTCTGTATATTGAAGATGAGACCTATCTCGGAGTGATGATGAATCATAATAATATACATGCATTATATAGAGGTACGCCTACCACCCTCTTTTTCTAGCTCTGGCCGCTAAAGAAAATCATACCTCCATACGGAGGCCGGAACCAAGACCTATGTATATAGCTCGCGTCGAACCAATGGCTCCGTGCTGGCCTGGCTCGACACGCGCGTCCGGCGCTCGGACTGGGTGTCCGTGTCCGTCTCGGTGGAGTCGGCCATGATGCGTGTATCGGTGAGGACGGGAGGCCGGGGACGATGCCGAGACGGGTGCGGTGGCATCCTGCACTCGGGATCCGAGGGGGCTCGCGGCTTGCGTCGCCGCAGAGTGTACATGGTCGGGAGATTGGCGGCCAGCGCCGAGAGGAGCACCTCGAAGAGGGTAATGATGACGTTGATGCCGGGGTTGGTGGTGGTGAAGAAGGCGCGCGAGAGACTCGCCGCGGCCACTAGAATGCCGATGGAGAAGAGTCCGATCAGAAGGAGGCGTCTGTATTCGGGGTCAGACTGAGGACGGAGAGTGGGATATGGAGACAATGAACGCACTGGCGCCAGGGTCGGTGGACCTGGACTACCCAGGGGATCGGGAGTATGATGAGGATCACGTCGCTGGAGGTGTTTTGCACAACATAGGAGTATAATGATCCTTTGGCGTTGAGGCAATGCACTGCGTTCCAACTCGTTGTTAGGATCTAGCCCTGTGGGGAACAATCAATCTTCTACACTCACCCGGCGGGTGTCCCGTCAGGAGGATATTATGCACTGGCCCGACGCAGGACACGCTCCAGCCGACGACCGCAAAGGCAAAGGTCAGCGTGAGCCAGCCCCAGGCCACGAGAATCCAGATGCGAGGCCACGGAAGACCACCCCAGACACGTTGGATGAAGAGAAGCACGACTGCTTTCTGACCCCAGAAACTAAAAGCAGGCACACAGATCAGAGAGGTATATCTAGAAGGTGCTTGTGGGGGAAGGCATACTAGATGAAATACCCGTATGTATACCCGACATACACATGCGTGATTCTTCTGGCGATGGCAAGGTCATGAGGGGTTGGCCCGCCCGGCTTCTCAAGTACACCCGACACATTGAACTGTCCAACCACCGAGACCATGGTCGTAGTCACCAGGAGAGAGAACATGCACAGCATGGTCACGTAGTCACTAATGTCGAAGGGCTGACCTCGATGCTTGCGCAGCCACAGCCGAGTACCCATTACCGCTCCCGCCATCGCGGCGACGACGCACTGCAAAACGACGGAGAGGGGGGGACCAAGATTGGAGACCATTGTTGTGTTGCCATTCAATTAAAAAGAGAAAGGCCACATACTGCTGGAAGAGTGAGGTTACAAGTGAAGCTTGGAAGCAACATTAGGGAGTGTGCGATGGACCGGGATCCTATGAAAATGATATATATACTAGTCCCAGTAAATATGATCTGCGCAGGTTCGGTGGGAACTGTGCTCAACCCGATATTATGGCTACAGTAGTAAGGACTGTACAGTACTCCAGGAGTTCGGTGCAAGCGGGTTTACCGAAGCTCTGACAACCTCGGTTCCAGGCCATAGCTCCTTCAGTGCCAAACAAAGAATCTGAGATCATGAGCTCGCGAGCTCGAGCTTTTCCCTCCTTCGCTCGCTCAGCTGCGGAGGTGGACAGCCGCTCGAGACCCCCCTCGAACCACCCCCTAACCCGGGGGAAGGACAGAAGATCATCGAGCGGAACCCGAGTCCAAGCCATCCAAGCCACCACGGACAAGATCCTGATGGACCTCAAATGACGAAAGCCAATTGCTCTAACCCATTGTCCTCTGACTTTTCTGACTCGGAGTTGTCTTTTTCCTACAAGCTCAACCTCGAAACCACGGCTCGGGGGGGGCCAAAGCGAAAGTCCAGCCGCCCTGACTTTGGTTCGGGCTATCCCGATGTGGACTACGCCAAGCGAGAGACAGACAAAGAAACGCTGCCGCCACGAGCCGTGATTTGTGATTGTGGAGTGATAGCTATTGCTCGAGGGTTTGGGACCGAGCTGAACTTATGTCATGACTCCGACTCCTCCCCGCGGTTGCGGGTTTGCGGGTTCCAGGTCAAGCTCGACCCAAGTAGGCGGTACCCAAGCCATGGGAGCACTTTGGCTCGCACCTTGAAATTCATATAACTACACTATCATGCCATTTGACTGAGGTCACGAGCATTGTAGTCAGTCAAATTTATGATAGAGGTGCTATGATCCATTGGAGAGATGCGCTGAGTCGAATCATGGGTCTAGGTCGCCAATGCTGATCTACCGCGCCGAGGTTGACTGGTCTCACTTTAGACCGAGAATCGTTGAGCCATTAATCTGCTGTGACTGGAGACTGCACAAGCAGAGTATACACATCAGAAAAGACTCTCCCTGTTCTGTTTCCAACTGTTTCCACCGGCGCTATACACCTTCCATTCGACAGATGTCAGCGACCCCAACTCAACAAGGTTCAGATGCACCCCAATAATCACGCAAATGCAACCGTTCCTACGGGCCAAGACATCCGGGAAAAGGGGCATGCTGCCTGCCCTGATGTGCGTGACCTCTTCGTTACCACCTTCCTGTCAGGTCCCGAGGAGATAATCAGCAATTTCCTGGCCATCGCGCACTTGGCGCGTCGATTGTGATCACGTCGAACATGTGTTTGAGATCTGCAGGCAGGTTTCAGCCTCGGTGTGTTCTGAACTCAAAACTCGTAGATACCTTGTTTTTGGCATGGGCCTCTCATCGGCGCAGTGAGAAGTGTGCGGCCGACCCCCCCGAGTCGGACTGGTGCAGTAACTCCTCCTTCGCGCAGAGAACCACTCGATTGTATTGTTGACTGCCGGAGCATGGGCGTCTGAGCCGCGGAAGACACCCACTTTTCCCCGGGACTCGGACTGTCAACCTGAGAACTAATCGTGCGTCGTAGGAGGATCCGTATGAAATGTACCAATCAGCCCTAAGACATGCACCAATTTCAGCCTCGATCATCGCAACTGAAGATTCCTGCAGACCCATGGGCCACCCACCACTTTTGCACATTCACATAACTTCATACTAACCCCCCTCCAAAAGACAAAGGTCGACTCCTCTCTTTGCCTTTCCTACCTATTTCTGATACCCCCCGTTTCAGAACAATACATTTATTTAGTCTACGCACTCCCCCAAACCTTCAGAGCACACACACGCAAAAAGTCATACAGCACCCTAGCCCCCTCAAACTCATGGTCCGTGATACCGCTCACCTTTCAACCTGCACGCCCTGTCACGGAAGGACCTTTCGGCCGGATCGTCCGGTATAATGTGAAACCTGGAATGGTCGGCTTTGAGTAGAACCCAACTATCCTCCATCAGACATCCCGACAGTTACAGTAGATTCGTGGGTCCCTCCCTTCCCCTCCTCTCTTCCCCAGTCAAGTCTGGCGAGGACTCCGGATCGCGTCCGTGCGGTGATCCTTCGCGCCGGGCTTGCGTGAGCCAAGGATCCATATCGGTTTCGACCATCCGGACAGAATGGGTTGTTGGTGGGTAGGGGGGATGGTTTGTTATGGAGATGTGGAAGTTGGCGATCAATTTCCATCACAATCGTATTTACTTATTAGTGTAGTATCAGTGATGAGATGTGATAGCGGGAGGTTGATTGAGGGCAAAGCTTGAGTGCTGGGAATACTATCCTTTTCGTTAAGGAAGGTCCTTTCTTGCTCCTTGGGAGAGATCAAGTGCCAGTTTCGTGATTTTGACCTCTTCTGTGCTATTCGGGTTCTCTTGTGTTATTTTGGAAGTAGTTTGATGTCGCCGGCGCTGAAAAGGGGGGTGTACTTTGGGTGTCGATCGCTTTCGTTGAGGTGGAAGGAAGATGCGAGAGGGTTGACTAGGTTACAATCCAATTCTTTGCATAGATGGTCTACTCACGCTTCTTTGCTTGGTGCTGATGCAGGATTGCAGCAGGATGGGAATTGGGAAACCGATGGCCTAACGACGGCCTGAGGGTTCGAAGGCCTCTGCAGGGAATGTGGTATGCCAAGTTCCCTCAGCAGAGCATGCGGGGATCTGACAATGCCAAGGTGAGCACAAGTCCATCATGTATCGGGACCAGTGCTGAAGCTGAAACCTGCACAGAGTCGAGCCCTTGTAGGTACTGTCCAAGCTCAACCAATGACATACCTAATTTTTGACCACTGTAAACCCTCAAGCTCAAGCGAACTGGATTGATAAGCACAGTCCGCTTATCGGAGGGCTTATCGGCCACCGTCGGAGTTCCATTCACGTGACTATCTGCATGTAAACAATGAGTCAGCCAGTCTGGAGATCGACTGGAAGTGACATGTAACGCCTATCTTGAAATTCTTTTGTTTTTGCGTTCATCAAAGTAGAGAGGTAGAAGATAATGCTCACTACATACCTGCACTATTGGAAATAGAACATGTGCAGGAAGGGCCAAAGGCAGTTCACCGACTGATAACGCACTTTCGACCCACAGTCACGCCAGCGGTGTGGGCAGTCTTATAACCAGTCCCCGCCCTACACTCCCACCGCAATCAAGGGGGTCGAATTCTCCACCACCTGTGGCACCACCGCATCATGACATCCAAGGGTAGTCTCCTGCGCTATCCCGGCCCAGGAGTCCACGAGCCAGCTCGTGCACCACGTCGCCGATTCCTGAGACGCTGGCGACGATCCATTGGAGGTGTTGCGTTAGTCGCAACTCTGCTGCTGGTCTCCGTCAGGTCCCCTGCAGATCTCTTGACTCCGACCACCTCTGCAGCGACCAAACGAGAATTCTACGAAGGCCTGCAGAAGTGCCACGATGTGCATGATCGAGGCCTGCGAGAGCCTGTCGCATCAGCAAGCAGGGCCAATCCCCGCTGGAACCCCGTCGCAGGCCAAAAAGAAGCCATCGTCATCCAGAATGCGACGCTCTTCGACGGGGAATCCACCCTCGATGACCGGGTTGATATCATCTTCGACGCGGGAGTGATCCGCTCAGTGCTCCCGACTTCGCAACACACCCCTATCCCAGCCAACGCCCAGGTCATCGACGTGCACGGCTCATTCGTCACCCCCGGCCTGGTAGACATGCACTCGCATCACTTGCTGCTCTCCTTCCCGCAGCTGCCGGCCACCAAGGACGTCAACGAGAGCCCGCTTCTGGGCCCGCTGACCTCCTTCGTGCGTGCCGTGGATGGGTTCAACCCGGACGACCCAGCCATCAAGATCATCGCCTCCGGCGGCGTGACCTCGTCGCTGATCCCCCCGGGATCGGCAAATGTTATCGGCGGCGAAGCCTATCTGGTCAAGAATCTTCTCCGACCCGGCCCAGACGGCGAGCCGGTCATCGAAGAGTTGCTCCTCGACCATGGCATTCCCGAGGCGCAGCGCCAGCGGTATCTCAAGATGGCGTGCGGGGAGAACCCCCGACGCTTCTACGGACACACCCGCCTCGGTCTCGCCTGGCTGCTGCGCGAAGAACTCAACAAAGCACGAGAGCTGCACGCCCGCCAGACCGAATGGTGCCAGGCGGCATTCCAGATCGAGGAAAGCAGGGTGGGGCAGAGTCAGCAGATCGCTAATTTTATCGACCGACAGGGCAAGCGACCGGAAGAATTCCAGCTCGACACGCTGGTGGCCTTACTGCGCGGAGAGCTCAATCTGAATGTGCACTGCTATACGCCCGACGATCTGGAGCGCATGCTTGCCGTGCTGCACGAGTTTGGAGTGCATCCTCGGGCGTTTCATCACGCGTTGTCGGCGTGGCAGGTGCCGGAATTTCTCAAACATCTCGAAGAGTGCGTTGCATCACCTTTAATCTTCATGTCACAGATCGAAGTGCTAACTCAAGTGGGCTCGCAGAAACATCACCATTGCCACGTTCGCCGACAACGGGCTGTACAAGGCCGAGGCCTACGAGTCGAATCTGCGAGGGCCCAAGATTCTGGACGAGCACGGTCTCCGCGTGGCCCTGAAATCGGTGAGTCCTGGTGTCTATCTCTCAGTGGCCATGGCTCATTAATCTGGGTGTCTAGGATCACACAGGAGAAGGCAATTACGCGAAGTACCTCCTGTGAGTGGCGCACAGGCATTTGCCCCAACCCTAAGTTCTTGCTGACATCTACATAGCGACCAGGCAGCAATCGCCCACTCGTTCGGCCTATCCGAGAAAAGGGCGCTGCAATCAGTGACCTCAATCCCGGCTCGCTCCATCCAGCAAGACCACCGCATCGGCTACGCTCGCCCTGGCTACGACGCCGATCTCGTGGTCTGGGATGACCATCCGCTGCAAGTGGGCGCCACTCCAGTCGAGGTGTTCATCGACGGTCGCGCCGTGCTCGAATCGCCCGCCTTACTATCAATCCAAGACAACAAGGTCGCGGCACAAGCCGCACCAGCCGTCCGATCCTCCGTCGCCACAGCCGAGCGGGACCGCGTATGCGCACCCGTGCGCGATCAAGCGTCCCACGCGAACATCCTCTTCACCGGCATCCAGCACGTCCTCCTCAACTCGACCACAAATCCCCACACAGAAGCAGCGCACGACAGAGTCCTCCTGCTCACAAACGGCCAGATCGCCTGCCTCGACACCAAGTCAACCTGTCTCGCGCAGACCACCAGTGAATCCCTCACGCAGATCGATCTCCAGAACGGATACATCACGCCCGGCCTCGTCGCCTTCGGCAACAAGCTGGGCATCGAGGACATTGCCTCCGAGCCCTCCACCGGCGCCGGCAAGGACGTCAAGGGCGCGGCCGACCCGCTCAACGAGCAGAAGAGCGTGCATTTCGCCAAGTACGGCGTGCATCTGGGCGGGCGCGCCTTCGGCCGGGCGCAGATCGGCGGCGTGACCAAGGCTGTGACTCCGCCGCTGAGCGCGGGAATCATACAAGGGGTAAGTGTGGGGCTCCGGACCCACGAGCAGGCGACGATCCTGGACGGAGGGATCTGGAAGGACGACGTGGCGCTGCACTTCACGGTGGGCCAGTCGGCGAGAAGTGAGTTCCTACCTCCAACATTGTCCTTCTTGTCAAAAACGATAGATAGCTTACCGCGTGCATCCCGGTAGACGACAATACCCCCACCGTCCTGTCGGGGATCGAACGGCTGCGGCAGGTGTTGGAGCAGGGAGGCAGCGACAGCTCGGGGGTATTCGCGCGAGCGGCGAACGGGTCTCTTCCGGTGGTTGTGCATGCTTTCCACCAGGTATGTTGCTCCCAGATACCCCCCCCCCTAAAATGAGTGACCAGGGTGCAGCTAACCCGGACAAGGACGACATCGCGCAGCTCGTCCGCATCAAGACGGACTTCCCCCGCGTCAACCTGGTTCTCTACGGCGGCCACGGTGCCCCTCTGGTAAGACCCTCTCCCTTCCTTCCTACTTTTACGCAGTTTCAACGCTCCCCGCATGAACCACCCCCCAACCTGACAACACCACAGGTCGCCCACCACCTCGCCGAAGCAGCCATCCCCGTCATCCTCACGGGCAACCGCGGCGCCCCGGACCGCTGGGAGAAGAAGGAAATCCCCGTGGGGCCCCCGCTGACCGAAAGTGCCGCGAAGACGCTCCTCGACGCCGGCGTGCAGCTCGGGCTGGCGCTCGTGGGCGATTCGGGGGTCCATGCGCTGGCCCAGCACGCGCGGGTGGCCGGGAAGCAGGCGGGGTTGACGGATTGGGAGGCGATCGCGCTGGTGTCGACGAATCTGGAGGAAATTCTGGGGCTTCGCTTGGGGCAGAGTGCGAGGGGGGAAGGGGAGGGAAAGGCGTATGTGGGGGACTTTGTGGTTTGGGAGGGAAATCCGTTGCGCGGGGAAGGGTCGGTGGTTGTTTCGGTGCTGGAGGGCGGGGAAGTCGCGGATTGTTGGCCGGATAGGGTTGGGGCTGTTTTGTAGGGTTGGCCAGGGGAGCTGGTTGAGGGTCAGGTGGGGGGGGATTGAGATACGTTGCAAAGCGAGACTATATCCTGACTACTAAAAACACATGGTTCCTATATCCCCGCCAGGTTAAAACGATGTAGGCACCAACATCACCATTCAAGCCAACCCCTCCAAGTCCAAGTCCAACCGCCACACATCGCCCGACCGCTCATTCGACTCAGCCAACCCCCCATGAACAACCACACTTACACCTGACCCACCCCCCTCAAGCACATCCGCAGCAAACCACCCCCTCGCCACCGGCCTGTGCCCGTCCCCCTCCCCCTCCCCCTCCCCCTGAACAAGCACCCACTTCCCCGCCTCCAGATCGAAAACCCAAACATCCCCCAACATCACCCCAGCCCCCTGATGCCCCAGAGAACTAGGATCACACTCCCCGAACAAGGTCACGAGAACCCACCGCCCCAGCTCCGCCCTGGCAGCAAGCAAACACCCCACACTCCTGGCCGCGGGCCCGACCACCCCATCCGCCACAAACCCAACCGTGCTCCACACATCCGCGACGGGGTCATAGACATCCACCGCCCCGCCTTGCTCGCGCGTCCCATCGAACCCATTCATGCGGTACACCTTCCCGTCCGCGTAGGCGATCGAGGCGCCCCCGCGCGCCGGGCCGGGGGCCGGGGCGCACTCGCGCCAGCGGCGGGTGGGCAGATCGAAGGCCCAGAGGTCGCGGAGGCGGCCGGCGGCCGGACAGCCGGCGTGCAGGTAGATGGTGTCTGTGCCGTTGGTGGTTAGGGCGTGGTAGCTTCGGCCGACGGGGAAGGGGGCGGCCGGGTCGGAGGGGGTCAGCTGCGTCCAGACGCTGTCGGTGGAGTCGAAGACCCAGAGGGCGCCGTGCTCTTCGAGCGGGGCCATGGCGGCGCCGCCGCGGCCGGAGAAGATGTAGAGTTTGTTGGCGAGGGCGGTTGAGGCGGTGCCCACTCGGGGTTGTGGGTGTGGGTGTGCGGTGGAGGTTGGGGTTGGGATTGTTGGGGAGGCTGGTTGGGGTTAGTTTGGGTACTTTATAGCTTGCTGAGTTGATATATGCGTGGGCGCGGCCTACTGGGGCTCACAGCGAGACGGTATACGGTTGAGTCGACGGGTTCGCGGGGCCGCAGCTCGCCGCCGTAGATGTAGGCGTGGTCGCCTAGGATGGTGAGGGTCTGCGATGACCTCTGGATTGAGGTAGCGGTATCGGACAGAAGCTGGGTCCAGGTAGCGCGCACCATTATGGCTGGATTGATTGTCAGGGGCTATGAAATGAGGAGAAAAGGTGTGCCTTGACTCCTGGATGGTGGCCGTGAAGTCGGTTATATAGCCGGTGATAAGCTACTTCCTGGGCCGACTTGTATGCTCGCTCGCTGGATGTGGGTCTGACTGGTGTGTATCGCCGTAAAGCTGATACGGGCGTAAAGTATGCCCCGATTGGGTTTAGGGCAGTGGACTTGGCATTGATCAGTTTCATCGACCATCGTGTTTGATGCACCCTCGATTCTCTGGCTTAGTTCATGGAAGCGGGGTTTTCTCCATCCATGCCGTGCCATCCGCGTCGTGTCCGCACACCACGACATCAATTGGCTGGTTGATGTCCAGCAGCTTCGACTTCGAGATGTCTTCCGGCACTGCCGGCAAAACCAACGTTACCGCCCGTGCTTGGGACCAGTATCGCGAGATATGCGAGACGATGCGCTTGGCGAGATGGGTGGGATAGTGCGAGTGCTCGAAGCCCCGTGTCTTTCGTTCAAGTTCCGGCCATACAATGCCGAGGATGTAGTCGAACAGTGTATCGGAGCGCCACAGGAAGACCAGTTGGAGAAGGCACTCTGCCAGACTGAATGTGTAAACATCCGCCGTGCTTGATGCTCCAAGGTCCAGCCTGCCAATGACCTTGCATGCACTGTACGCCAAATCATCAAGCTTGTTGGAGGTAGCTGAGTTCAGGTCGATGGGCGGGTTATCGGACATGCACGCCCCGTGGGCTTCCTCGAACATCATCTCGCAAAGAATGCAGTACACGGCATTCATCGCATCACGATGGCTAGGATATACCTGTTCATAGGAAGTCAAGGGACACTCCGATAGTTCTTCCGTAGCTGTATTGACAGCTGCACTGCAGCGTGGTCGCCTGTTATGTACCCGCGACCTCCACACCTCTAGTCGTTCCTTCTGAACCGTCAACAAGCCCCGCAAGTGGGAACCTCGCACGAAGCCCTCCTGTGCTTCAGCATACTCGTCCGGCGGCGAGCATCTCCCTAGCATCGTGTTCAGCACTCTATGCGCGACACGGCCGATGTCTCTCGACGACTCCTGGATTCGGTGCGTGCCGGCTACCGAGCGAAACACAACCAGCCGCGAGCGTATCTCCATAGACTTGATCAAGATATCATGAATGAGATCATCTGGACTCATCCCCAATACACAGCTGAGATACAGATGATCGGTGGCGTCTGGAAAGCAGTTCGGGCCGAACGAGCTGACCCCCTCGCCCTCGAGGAGCAGCGAGGGTGGCTTCGACAGTCGATGGGAGACACAGAGCCGATGCCACATCTGCAGGGCCCCGACCCCATCCGGGGAGCGCACGATCTGTTCCCGGCATTGTGCGACAAATCGCAGGGTGTCCCAGACTGCTAGCCGGAAACTGAGATGATTCGTCGAGGCGTGGTGGTAGTAAGCGAGGAGAACGAGGGCCCGCAGAATCGAGGCTGCATTACGTGCCACTTCGCCTGCAGTCGCGGTGCGGCAGAGTTGAAGTGCGCGGTCATGGTAATTGCGTGCTTGGCGGTGATGGCGGGAATTGACCCGGGGGCTAAACACAGGGATTTGATGATCATCCACGAGGTGACGACTCTGGACCGGTGCGTTGAGCATGGACAGGCTGGAGGCTGAGATGCAGAGAGCGGCAGCACGCAGGCAGGGGGCGTCGAAGATATCCCCCACAGACGTCATTGACAATGCCGGTAGCAGATGGCGTACATGATCCTGGAAGTGGCTCAGGTAACGGACCTCAAGGCCGTCCCCAAGATCTAGCGAAGGGGAGAGTCCAGCTGCGGTGAGGTCACTCGAGAGAAGGGGTTTGGCCGACGGATCGTATTCACTACGAGCCTTTCTCGACGCAGCGGTGGGATCTGCCGCCGCAGATGACGCGACAATCGCCTGCGTATGTCGCTGGAAGGTAGCTTGATCGGTGTGTCGGAAAGTCAAATTCACCCCGTAACTGCACTCCAGCGATAACCGAACACAGGCGCGGCAGTGAGGTTTGGTTTCGTCGCACTGACACTACATCAGACCGACGGTTCATGGGGCACAATTACAACAGACGAACCTTTTTGCCTCTTCTTCGGCATGACTTGCACCCTGAGTGCTTCCGAGTGATCTTGCTGGACCTTGTCCTAGTCGTCGTCATACCATTGGGAGGCATGTTAGGTCCGGAGTTGGTAGCAAAGCTCTGTTGCTATGGCATCTTGCAACCTGGCAGTGGCGTGTGGGGTTGGTGTCAAGATTCGGCGCCAGGAACTTGGGACGTTGCCCTGACCCTCGGTTACAGTACTAGGTTACAGTATTACCCATTTGTGGTGATAAATTACGCATACTGGCCTGCCCCCTTACAATACAACAATACGCGCCTGTGGATACCCATTCCAGTCTACACCTTGGGATCATATCATCATTCAATCTTGTAAACCGGGGAGGAACATGCCTCGGAAGAATGTTTCTACGACTAGGTGAATCATGCATGAATCACAATTCCTGATCTGGCTGCCGATCGATACGATCTACCAATGCAGTGTCTAGACCATCGGCGGACGTCGCGGGAAGGCGGAGATAATCGGGGCTAAGTGTAGCGAAGCCCCCTGATCTCAGAGATACGTACTTGAGGATCTGTGCCACACAATCCAAGGGCTGGGTCACTGCCACGTCTCGCCATGACGAGCGTGGTGGACATGCATCATCGAGACAATGGTGAACTCAAATAAGGCCTTTCTTGTGACGAAGCCTGGTTCACTTGCCATTCATCCTCTCCGCATCTTGCGATTAGCCAATGATCAGCCACGAACCTTAACTGCTCTCTTACTCATCGTGGTTACAGCATGGTGAAGCCATGATGACGCCCCAGCCAGCAACAACAGCCACAGCACATCTATAAAGTCCGTCAAGTCAGAGCTTTCTTCAGCTTCATCATCAACAGTTAACTGAACAATCCAGACCTTGCTTGACCAAGTCTATCCCCAACATTCCGACCAATTGCTGCACATTTATTCCCCGTTGAACCAGCTCATACCTTAAGTTATATACCTTCCATCATGCAGAACGAGTACGGACAGGGCATCTCCCACGCCACCGGTGGCTCCAGAGTCCCCGAGAAAGTCCAGCAGAAAGCTCCCCAAGGACTAGAAGAGTCCTTGCCCAACAAGGTATGGCCGCTATCTCCCCATGGGTCTCTCTCCCCTCAAGTCTAATGACTGACATGATGACTCCAGCTCCACGACACCGGCTCCGGAACTGGTCGCCAGACTCACGCCCTCAACGACGGTGAAGACTCCATTGTCCCCAAGAGCATCCAGAAGGCCGTCCCCGAGAAGCTCGAGCGCGCATTGCCTAACAAGATCCACAACACCGGTGATGAATAGATGATCTTGCATAGCGGAACGTCTTACGAATGTGATCTGTGACGATACAATTTATGTCATGTTGTATTCAATGTTATGAAATGTGAAATAATGGAATTCTGATTTGGTTATCCATCGTTTGAATTCATTCTGAGTAAAGAATTGTCCAAGACCTTTGCAGACTCCTTTTCGGAAGATTTACATAGAAGCACCATCGCCATGACTGGGTGGAATTACAGCTCAGTCATAGTACTTGGATAGAGTCGAGAGAGAGCTCAACATACCAGTTTGTCGGGGAACACTCCCCCGGTCGTGGCCGTATCACAGGTCAGTAAAGGACATGTTCGAACCTTGAAGGGTTAACTCACGTAAACAACGGACGGCGTTCAAGTGGTACAGTACATTATGAGCCAAAATGAGCAATGCACCGGACAGAAGCCCAGCATTCCCGCAGCCAGCGATGGCGCGTCCCAGACAGTGAAACTACGAAAGCTGGAGATTAAGGTCACATCTGGTGTGTCTATTTTTCCACACCTTCGCGCGACGCGTAGCTTATAGTTGGACAGCCCTAGATCCACCCTAAGCAAGAATACAAGGTGACATAAGGCTGGCAGATCGTAGCGCAAGGTTACAAACATCAGCGAGGGGGTTGATTTCACCAAAAACGGTCAGCGAGTCACTGTCAATCACTTTTCCCAACAGGACTCGACGGAACTCACGTTTTTCAATGGAGTGATGACTAGATATGAATCACCCTGCTACGCCTCACTTGTGTTCCGCCAGGAGCATCACTAACAAACACGGCTGTCTGACTTCAAAAGTAACCCAAAGACAAGATCCCAACAAGGTCTTCACAGTGCACCGAAAGTACAATTGCTTCGAAGCAGCGCTGAAGTTAGCTAGTGGGTTTATTGGTGTCGTTGGCAGATCCCACGGAAAGTGGTCTAGGACCCGTGGTTTTGTGGACACACTCCACATTCTCTTCTAATTTTACTCGAGCGCCGGAGATGTATCACCCTCTGCTCCCTCTGGTCGGATGAATAGACCACTAAGCCAACACCATGTCAGAAATTGAGCATATTTCGGGTCTATATAGAAGGATAGGTTTATCACTTACCTCTCCGTCCAAAGTAGTGTACGAGGTTCGTGGAGGCTGTGACGCCCAGATGAGATGATGCTGTCAAGCATTACAAGCATCAGCCACAGCATTGTGGCTCAAAGCCTTATCAGTCACTTCAGATAATGGTTGCCTATCTTGGGACGGAGTAAAATCAGCGAATAAGCAAAGCAGCCTCAAGCCACTCGGAGTAGATTAATCTTCCACGCTGCTTTCACTGGCCACGGGCGCCATCGGAGTCCGATGCTTACACTTCCACCCTGCGCCCAAGCACAAATCCTTCGCCATGTTGCGGGATGTGATGACAGGTGAGTCAAGTATATAAGTATTGCTGGCTTCTGCCATGAAAGCTTAATGGTTCTGGTCAGGCCTGGCGACTGTCAGCAAGCACTGCTGCTCGACAACTAGCGATAAGAGATGGCGTCGTTGTCGACACAATGCACGAGTGCCAGCGATGCTGTGTTTGGCCCTCGGGTCAGCGTCGCCTGTCGCTCGTTTGACTTTACGCTTTATTTTGAAGATGTGATGTTCGCGTGCCTGCCCGCGGCTCTTTGCCTGTTGCTTCTTCCGATCTCGGTCTGGCAGCTTTGGCACGAGCCTCGTCGCATCAAGAGGTCTGCCCTCTTGGCTTCCAAGCTAGTATGTCGATTAGCACTATTCCCACGATACGAAGTAGGTACTAACATGCTCAGTTAACACTTGGGGCACTATTTGCCGTCCAGATTGCGTTCTTAGCTCTCCGTCAGTCACAGCCTCTAACCCCTGCGCACGGTGCCTCGCTCGCCGCGGATGTGTTGGAAGTGGTGGCCATCGCCAGTGCGATGTGGCTGTCCTACTTGAGCCACTGTCGCTCTATCCAGCCCTCTACGCTGCTGATTGTCTATTTCTCGACTCGTACCCTGTTGGGAATCGCCCGGGTGCGGACGCTGTGGCTCATGCGCGCCGCCACGGCAGACGCCGCCATCTTCACCGTGGAGATCAGCCTAACTTTTCTATCATTGATCCTGGAGTCAATCGAGAAAGCATCAATTCTTACCGAGAAAGCCGCGAGGCCCGCCACGCCGGAGCCGTTCAGTGGGTTCTGGAAGCTTGCGAGCTTCGCCTGGCTGGCAGGAACCTTCCGCCAGGGCTACTCCAAGGTCCTTTCAGTCCACGACCTGCCTGATCTCGATCCTCAGCTGAGGAGTGAGGTCGTGGGTAAAGAGCTTCAGGATGCCTGGTCGCAAACAGGTAATGTTGCGTTGTTTCTTGGGGCTTCGTGTCTGTTCTAACATGAATATGCTCTCGGGCTGATAGAAGACAAAACCGCAAAGTATGCCTTGCTCCGCACCTCGACGCGAGCCTACCTAAGCGCACTGCTCGCAGCGGTCATTCCTCGCCTGCTGCTGACGGGCTTCACCTTCTGCCAGCCCTTTCTGGTGGATGCGACCGTGACATGGGTCGGGAACCGGGACGCGGCCCTGGACTCGGGCAAAGGGCTGATCGCGGCGTTTGCGATCGTGTACACCGGCATGGCGGTAAGTTGCGTACCGGCATGGGTTGAAAGGACATGTGTACCTGCATAACGCTGGTGCTGATATTGTTGGATGAAGGTATTCACAGCACTGTCCGGCTACCACACCTTCCGCTTCACCGTCCGTCTCCGCGCCGGACTGATCTCCCTCGTCCACCACCAAACCGTGCGAACCAGGGCGGTCGACCTTGGGGAGATTACCGGAGTGACACTGATGGGGACAGATGTCGAGCGCATCACGTCGGGCTTCTTCTCCATCCACGATCTGTGGGCCTGCTTGATCGACATCGCGGTCGCCATCTTTTTACTCGCCAGGCAACTGGGAGTTGCGAGTGTTGTTCCGGTGGTGATGGTCGTGTGTAAGTGGATCCCCAGTACTCTATTCAAGAGACATCAAGGCATCGATAGTAACGAAATTCAGTCTTCTTTGGCTGCACGTTCAAGCTCTCAGCGTCCAGCAACACCGCTCAACGCGTCTGGATCGAAAAAGTGGAAGACCGGATCCGATTCACTTCGTATGCGCTGGAGAACATCAAGTCGGTCAAGATGCTCGGACTCTCACCGAGGATGTCTGCAATCATCGGGGGATTGCGGTATGCCGAAGTGGCTGCTTCGACGGTGTTTCGGAAGCTGGTGATCGGGAGTGTGGTACTGTGTATGTCGCCGAATCGAATCTCAATGTTGGAAACCCCGTAGGAAAATGCTGACAAGACCCCCTTGTCTGGTCAGCGAATTCACCTGCCAATCTGGCGCCGATGGCGACATTCACGCTCTACGTGATCATCGCCCTTGTCAAACATAACAACTCCATCCTCGCTGCCAAAGCCTTTACCTCTCTGTCATTGATCTCGCTGCTGACGACCCCGGTCTTGACCTTCATCCAGTCGGTCCCATCTGTGGTGGAATGCCTGGGTTGTTTTGATCGGATCCAGGAGTATTGCAGCAAGTCGCCGAGGCCGGATGAGTCTGAGGCACAGCACGAACTCGACGGTATCCCCCTAAGCTCGCTGAAAACGCAAGCATCAGAGCAGAACGGGAGCGCAGTCGAGTTCACCGGGCAAAGCTTCGCCTGGGACCAAACAACTGCCCCCGTGCTACAGGACATCCACCTGAAGATCCCACGTGGCGCCATAACCATGGTAGTCGGGCCGATCGGTAGCGGAAAGACGACGTTAATCGAGAGTATACTGGGCGAGACAGTCCTCGCAGGCGAGGAAGTCACCAGAAACCATGGTTCCATCGCCTACTGCGCCCAGACTCCATGGCTGCAAAGCCAGACCATCCGTGAAAACATCCTTGGGTCGAGTCTGATGGACTCGGCCTGGTACGAGACGGTGATTAGGGCTTGCGGGCTCGAGAAAGACATGGCGCGTCTGCCACGCCGGGATCAGACGCCAGTTGTCAGCAATGGACTGACCCTGAGCGGGGGGCAGAAACAACGCATTGTAGGTGGCTTCCAGCCATTATTTGCTGATAGCTAGCATCGTCACTGATATTGTTTCAATAGGCGTTGGCGCGAGCACTGTACGCCCGACCTCGAGTTGTTCTGCTGGATGACATCTTCAGTGGTATCGACGCTACAGCAACGGACAACATTGCGCGCAGCTTGTTCGGCGACAGCGGGCTGTTCCGGGCATTCGAGACGACAGTCGTGCTTGCGACGCATTCGGGTACAGTACCTGGACCTCTGACAACGGGCGCACATGTACCTGGACTGACCAATCATTGGTACAGGTTTTCTTCTTCAATTTGCAGACACAGTTGTCGTGCTGCGTGAAGGCCGGGTTGTTGACGCTGGTGCACTCGACGCTCTGAAGCAAAGTAGCGACTTTGTGCGCAACCTCAAGATAACAGTATCGGAAATTTCTGGTAGCGAGAGTGAGTCAAGCAGCGACTCTGAGCAGCTTGAACATGTAGACAAGCACAGCACCAATTCAGAAGCTGTCGAGTCGGCCGATGAAGATGCCACAGACGATCAGAGCCGCCAGACTGGAGACTTTGCGGTCTACGCTTACTACGCCACTGCTGCGGGGCGCCTGAATATCGTTCTGTCGCTGGTGTTCGCGTTCATGTGGGCCTTCTGCAATGAGTTTTCCAGTACGTTGAAGGATGGGTTCTGCATTGTCCGAGGAGGTTTCGCTGACATGGGTCCATAGCTGTGTGGGTGAACTGGTGGACAGCGGCAAACGAGAAGAGTCCCAACTCGAAAGTGGGCATGTATCTGGGAGTTTACATCTTTTTCGGACTATCAGGAGCTATCTTGCTGGTTGCCACTTGCTGGTATGCAGCATCCCACATCGACTACAACCGACTGTCTAACATGCGAACAGGATCACCATCGTGACCATAATCTCCCGCTCAGCAATCAAGCTGCACGACAATGTGTTAACCAGCACGTTCCGTGCCTCCTTCCAGTTCTTCCACAATGCAGACA